CTCTGTATTAAACACCCATGGATGTCCGGCCATTTAGCTCTCGAGAACTTGACATTCTGCCACAGATTCGCCTACTCCGCAAGTGAGACGACGCATCTTTTTTGGATACTTGTTTATCCCCGGAGCACGACATGTTTCCAGGAGGGGAAAGTCGACCGGCACCAAGCCCCAAAGATCGACCGCTCTCGCTGGGATTTGGCAGCTTAGCTTTGGCGCCATCAGAAAGGCAAACGCGAACTGCATTTCTGGCCCTTGGCCGCTCTCGGTATTTAAAGTCGAGGCGCGCGTTCTTGGGCAGATTTTTTATGGGGAGGAGCTTTTGTCCTGTGTGTGAGATTTAATCAATGCTCAACGCGCCCATCTCCGGAGCGCCCAATTAAACGCGACAACGCGCTGTCTCGATTACTTGAAACCCCCAAATACAACCCACCAAGATATCAGCACTATGCTACAACCATCAATCCATTATCGCTGGAGAAGAGAGTATACGGCTGGGTGGAACCGAAAGCTGTACGTCAAATGTTTGGAGGCTCAAAACGAGCCAGTCACCGTCGTCTTTACTCAATTTCAGGCTGAGTCTTGTACATACAGCCATCAAATGCCCTCTTTCATCTTACCCCTCAACAGTGGACCTCAGCAACGCAGCGAACCAACGCGAAAGCGACGCCGTGGCAGTCTGACGTTATAGATGATGCCATGCTGGAAATGCTGCCTGCATATTGAGTCGTGATAATCCCAATCTCCCGGCTGCAGATTCAGACGCCCCCAATCACGGGCTTCCAAGCAGCGCTGGCTTGCATACGCACATCTGAATTGTACATGCTCACGCAGCGCACAGTTGACGCGCAGGAGGATCTCGCCACTCCCAAAAAAGAAGATTGCGTTCTTGCAGACGGATCTCACCTGGAAGCGGGTTCACGCACGATAATCGATACTGGAAGCGCACGCTAACAGTTACTTGTCGATACTTTTGATGGATAGAGGCCATCGCTATGCTTGCATCTGCGTGGACTTTTCAGCTCGAGTCTGCCGGCAAGCCTTGGCTCCGAAATTCACCAGCGACGATCAATATATCCGCAAGAAGTAACCGGCCTCGCGAGAAAGGCAGCTGATTCTGTGGCTGCAGTCATAGACCGATCCTCCTTTTTGAGCCACAAGATCCAGGCGGAGAAAGCCACTTTCGATATTGTACATCAGCCAAGATGAGGCTGGATTCTCAATCTGCCATTGGACATCCGATCAAGCCCGCTATATTAAAACAAGCCGCGCTGCTACCCCCCGCTCCTTTGGTTTGGCTGATCACGGAGTAGCAGAGTCTCGCGTCGGAGCTTTGTCATGTCAAGGCAAAAAAAAAAGCAGATTAAGCAGATCCCTCTTGGTTTCATGTACATCTGCTCCTATTCGCTGGACATGTTCAGGATTCAAGCTAGCCTCAGTGGCGCACTCGATTGGCCAAGAGTGGCGGCCGCCTGCATATGGCTCGTAAATTGCGACTGTCCAATATCGCCTAAATGGCCGTCGTGCGACTCAACCGTAGGGAGAAGGCAGCCCCTTTGCTTGCTCAGTACGGATCAGCAAATGAAGTCTCAACAATGCGATATGAAGGCATCGAGTCCATATTTGATGAGCAATTGATCCTTGCCAATTAAAACGTTTTGGCGAGGGCCATTTTGTTAGGGAAACACCCTGCCATGGTTACTGATGCTTTCGAGTGGGGACATTCATCCGATGCCTGACAAGCAAGCTACTTGTACTTCGTAGCAGCGGCACCATTGGTCTGGCAGTCTAGTAAATGTTAGTAGCGTGACAGCTCCAATGAGGAGAGTGATGACAGAAACCCATTGCTGGACAATGGATTGCAAGATCCGCCATTGCTACCATGCGTAGAGAAAGTCACCAAGAGCCCGGTTTTCCGTCTCAGCGGGATGGCTCCACTCTCGGATGAGCTGCTTCAAGTGTACAAGCAGAGTACCTATACGCCTCGCCTTTGACATGCTGCTGGGCGGAACTGCGGCAGTGCAGCTTGTTGTGCTTTGCATCTGATCGACCGCATCCGCATCCCTGGGTTTAGGTTCTGGGATTGATCGTGAAAATAAAATTATTCCGTAGTGAATCATCAATTGAAAAAAAACGAGGCTGTGCTGAGGTCGTTGAAGGGATGAACGCGCCTCAGGTTCCGCGAGACCATGTACGTTTCAGAGGAAATCATCACTAATATCAGACGCACGAAAAAAAAGTGACTGATTTTCATTTTTCGTTTTATTCTCAATCTTTTTTTTAACTCTTGTCTCGGCCGCTAGTTTCGGTTATCTTGTCGCCCTCTGGCGGATTAATTTGCTAATGACGATGTGCAACATACGGGATGCTACAGGGTATTGAGCTTGCTACCGGTAATAGAATGTCTTGGCTAGATAAAGCTAGGAGACGTTGTGAACTTCACCTGATTATATATAACAGAAATTGATGTTCGCTATATATAAATGCTCCTTGTCTTTATACGGAGCGATAATCAAAGTAGCACATCATGTATGCACTCTACATGAATGAAAAGGGAGCTTTGTAGATGCAAGCACTTTACACAATTGTTACACATGCATATGCACGTAGCCTCTTGCAGATGGTATTAAGCAGGGAGAACCGACCGGCGTTACAAAGTGGAATGATGTCAAGTGAGGGTGGAAAATCTTTTTTTTCTCGTTTACCTCTTTTCACGACAGATGCCCTTGAATTGATACCCATGATGAACGACCTTGATCCAGACGGCCCTCACTGCCGGTAGTTTTGGCTTGGGGGCGTGAAATGCCTGTGGGTCGTCCCATCGCAGGGAACTAGCAGTAGTGGCCCCGTATTGTGTCCAGCGACGAGAGGGAACCGCTGGGTCGCGCTAACAGCTCTGCAGCGGAAATCGTACGAAGAAAAAGAAGGAGCAAAAAAAAAAAATTGATGAGAGAGGCATTGATTGAGTGGATATTTGCGGCTCGTTGTCCCGGAGAATGAAAATTTTCCCAGCAAATTTTCTTGGTTGAGCGTTGGGTGACGGATTTGGTGGAGGGAGACCGAGAGTTTTACCTAAGTACGTGACTGCATGTGCATTTGCGTCAATCTTGCTTTTTTTTTCTTTCTACTTGAATGCGCTTTTGTGACGGGCGTACAAGCAATTACATGATGCATTGCATGTGCACAATGCTTTGCTTGAATCGGTACTATTCATAGCACAAAGCCATGCACTAGAAGTGGGGGAGCGCCATTCTCTTGTTCTAGAAGCTTTCTTGATGTGGAAAGGTCAGATGAAGATGAGGCTGAAGAGCTCTCCCAAAGAGGAAACAAGGCAAATTGAACCCTTGCTCTTTTTTTTGTGTGGCGTTTGCTTAAAGGGCGGTGGGGAAGCTCTGCTATAAAGTCGCCTTTTTTTTTTTAACGTAGCGACGTGTTAACTTTTGTGTAGCCTTGACGGGGCTTGACGGAGCAAGGAGTGTGATTAAAGATTTCAATTGGCATATTGCAAGCCACTGTCGTTTATTACTTGCATGTCGGTGTGATTCCTCAATGTGATAAAGGGAATGCAAAACCTTTTGAAGCAACCAAACGAACGGCTGCGTGTGTCAGGGCGACTAGTCTCATGGGGGCCTTTTCATCCGCCCCCCATCGGGTCTAAGACTCTGTATCAACTACGTAAAGCTTGCCGTGCGCCGGAGCTTCAAGCGCCTTTGCCGGTTCATTCGTTATATGGAACCCCGTTCATCCCTCTGTACATGCAAAAGTATCCGCGAAGGGAACAAGAGGCGTCAAACGTTTCGTCCTTGCATTACTAAGAGGCCCTGCCTTGGACCCCCCAAACTAAAACATCAATGATGTGCGTAGATACCTCCATCCAAGGTAGTTTGTTCGGGCACGATGTATCTACTCCGCACTCCGGCTCTAATGCAAGTTCCATTAGATCGGACCCCGAAATATGAGCCACAAGAGGGGCGGGAGTGAAGAAAAAAAAAAAAAGGGCAAGTCGTCAGATGGGCGTCTGCATCACGGCGCTCTTGGAGCAATCCCATACAATCTGAGTTCGTACTGGTGTATCAGGCAACGAGTAGACATTCGAAATAGAAATTAGCATTCCTTTGCCTCTTGGGGATTCTGGAAATCTGTCCAACTGGGAGCCTCTCTCAGCCTACCAGGCAGCATTGCGGATACATGCAGACCATTTCGCACCGCTCGCCTCTTTCGTCACATATGCAGATAAGGAAAGCGGGAAGATAACATACCGAATGGCTTCCTACGTGGGGAGCTGGCGTGTTGAAAAAAAAAAAAGAGAAAAAAAAAAGCGGTCTTCCCGAAGCATCCATATTGACCCGTAAGCTTGTGGAGGACACAAAGAGAAAAAAAACTTCTTTTTGCCGATTGGCAGACGCCGTCCCACTAAGCAGTATAGTATCCCAAAAGAAGCGGTTTCCGCGGTGAAAAAAGCAATATAATTTTTTTCTTTTCTTTTCTTTGTGAAATGTCAGTGCGTCGTGACAGCTTTTACCCAGTCCGGCTTGTCATCTACTACAGTAGGTAATACTAACCCCCATCCCACTAGCAGGATAGCAATATGCAGCGTTCACCGCCAAGCAGCTTACAAAATAAAGGCGGGACAGGGCCGTTGACGATTAGGAATGAATAGCGTGGTGCGTGTATGCATGCTTTGATGTAGCCTCGGTGGGTGCCCAAAGCGGCAGTGCCCATTGATGTGTCTTGTTGATCGGCTACAGACTTTGAAGAGGCTTCTCGTGCCATGTACGATAAGGCAAGGTGCCGACAAAATATGGGCGGCCGCTTGGTAGAATGGCTTCGAGACGGTTTCATATTATATCAGCTGTAGCCAAATCAAAGGTCGGTGGTAAGCTTTACGGAGGTCAGAAGTACGAATACTTGCAGGTATATGCGCGCATAATGCACAACCAAACATACCTGGGTAGGCGACGATTATTAGCAAGGATGCCGCTTGCAGCAGAACCCCGGCAGACATGTTGGCTGCGCAGGCATTCTCCATGAAAGACAATAGCCGCCGCCACGACACGCTCTCCACGGCTAGCAACGCGATGAGGCAACGCCAGCCAGTCTCGTCACCCCCAGCCGCGAGGCCAAAAGACGCCTCTCCGGTCTCCGGGGCTGTCGCGCGCGTGCGACCCCGAGAGAATAGCCGGAGCGCCGGGGCGCCGTCAGCCACGCGCCAAAAAGCCCGGCGGTGGCCGGCACCGTGTCGGCCGTGAGCCATCCATCAGCGTGAGCAGCTGCGGTTGAGGCAGTAAGATTTCTACTACTGCCATCTGAAGCTAATTCATCTCGACTCGTTCCGAATAGCCTCGCTCGGGACGAGAGCACGTGTAAGTATGCCAATGTACTCCGTGCATAGCCAGAAAGCCACTGCACAACGTTATTGCCTCCCCTCATTTATCAAAATTTTCCTCTTCCCAATCGCGGAGATTCTTACCGCTAGTGACTACTAGGTATGACTGTGTGGTTCGCAGCAACGCCCCTCTAAAAAATGTATGTGCATATATACATAAGAGGCAGACTGACATGCCCGTCTGCCAATGACATTAGCTAGTCGCCGATTCGAGGCGCGACCATGTGCTACTGCGTCGCGTCTGCCCCTCTACGGAGCAAGCTCTGGCTAGGCCATGTACAAGATGTATGCAAGAGCGCGATACGCCAGGGGGCGCCATTGGCCTGGAATCTCGGATCCCGTCGCCAGGTGCGTGGGGCTAGGCGTCGGCCTTGCATCGGAAAGGCAAGTTTGAGCATGCTGCAGATGATTGATTACTGGTGCTACACACTTTATAGGCTCGGCGTAGGCATTCCTGCAGCACATAGGACAAGTGTCAAGATGAGCGTGAAAAAACGCACCGAGATTTAGGCTATGCAGTGAACGCTGCTATATATGATGGTCACACCGTCTTTACAACGATGATGTATGAATGGTGGGAGGATCGATAACTTTCTGACAGGACGCAAAGAAAAGCCCTTTTGTGACAGTCCCACCTTTGGGTGATGGGGTGAGATTCTTGAATCTGGCATAAAGCTTGGATGCGAATATACTGTACTGCTACCTACTAGATACTATTAGTCTAATACAGAAGTAGATTGTTCAAGAGCTGCTGTTGGACACTTGAAGTAGCCACCTACTTATGGGAACGCCGAGGAAAAGGAAGATATACCTACTCCTCCTAATCCTTAGGCAGGTTCTGAGCAACATCAAAGATTTACAAGTACTGTACATGTGGTGTACCAGCTGCAACACGCAAGGATCACACAGAAAGATGAACATGAACGCGAAAAGGTCACGGTATAAGCGGCAGCCATTGGATGCTAACGCCGTTCCGATTTCGTAGCCACATATAGCGCAAAAAATGGCGTGGGGCGTCGGGAAGAGCAAATTCTGGTCAAGTCGAGTCTAAAGATGCTGAAGCCTGTTCCTTGTCCTGTCAGGCCAAGCGTTGGCGTTGTGCTCAAAGGTTGAACGACTAAGCTTCCCACTGCTGCGGAGAGGAGTCCAATGCGCAACTACAAAGCCTCGGGCTTCGGTCATGTTGCCTTGGCCTCCAATTGAGCGCCAGGATGCGGCTAGGCGAGGCGTGGCTGTTGAAAGAAAAAAAGGCCACCATGTTGGACGCTATGAGAGGGGCGAGATTTACTGTGGAAGCCGAACTAGTTGGCCAGAATGACGTCTAGCAAGCGACAATGCCAATGGAGCTCTCGCATCCACTGGTTCTAAAGTGCCAGAGTCCAGACTGCTCTGTTACGGACCATGGCTTAGTACGTTTCTCCCTAACCATACAGCTTGTAATTACAGTATGCTGTTGGGACTATTAGGAGTTTAGCTGAAGGATTTGGACGTTGACGCACTGGTGCCTTTACTCAATATCAACGAAGCGAGAGGCGGACCTTTGAATATCTTCCCTACAAGAATCCTTGTCGTCCAAGTTTAGCTACGAGTACCTTTCCATTGGCCCTACTCTAAACCCCGTCTAGCTCCGCCAATTGGCAAATCGTGGCCCGAGTCTCGGTCCAGATGTGCTGAATGGAGCAGAGGAGGAGCCGAGAAAAAAAAATCGTTGATGCATGTGAGGGAGCAGATTCGAGCACGGGCTGCCAGCACGAGTAGCGGTACAAGCCGCAGTAGCAGCATGTCCATGCGTCGTCCGCACTTGCCCTCTTTACGGAGCCTAGAGTGGTGCTCCGTACCTGCCGTATATGGGCTATTACGAGAAGGTGGCCAACCAAGGAAGGCGGTACCCGCACCTTGCCGAGTTCAGGCACGCCGATGCGGAAAAAATGAGAGTTACGGTGAAGACCCGAGGGCTTGCAAAACTTCAACCTTACAAACACCGACGATGGAAGCGACAATGCATCTCCAGTGCCTCTGACTGTGCCATTCGTATCGATTTGCTCTGTCGAGAGACGTTTTCAGGTCCTGCACGACGCCGGCGTCTCAGATATGGCTGCATAGACGGATCCTTGAGCCCTGTTGGCCCTCCGGAAGCTGTTTTTGGTGCTTTGGCGATAGGATACCACCCTCGAGCTGCGAGCTTGCCTATGCTCTGTTCAGCCGCTTCCGATCGTCTATACTCCCTCCGATGCTCTGCATCATGGCACAAGAGGATGGTTGCAATGGCCAGCAGCCATATCGCTGCTGGGTGCGCCAATCGCTCTTCCCGGGCTCGCTGAAGCCATATCCCTTGAATTGCCATTACCCTGGAGCAATGCCAAATTGAGCCAGCGATAGGAAAGGCTCGGCGTCAGCTCTGAAGTGTGCCAGCCTATGGGAGCTCTCATCGGTGATGGAAGTAGACCATGGAGAAACGTACTGGTACTTTTCGCCCTATCACGGCCTGGCTGACAATGCAGCATAAATTAGCCACGACGCCACCAGTCAGATAAGGCTAGATTTCAGCTGAGCTCTGGCAAGCCTGCGGGGGTCGTCTCGAAACAAGACCGAACAAAACGTACGATTTTGTCGGTGGTCCATGATCCGCACTGCGCCCTCGAGTAGCCAATTCTTTCAGCCGAGCAGGCGCAGACCATCATATGCGTCTACAGGCGTGCAGAGGGGCCGAAATGAGGCGGAATGAGACGGCTGCATCGGCCATGTTGGGCATGTACCTTCCAAAGGCTGTGCGCCACAACATGCGGCATCCTTCGCCTTCCATACCGACTTTTGTCGTGCTTCCCAAATTGGCACTGACATAATATTGTTTGAAATGACAAACCTGCCCCCTCTTGGGTGCGATCCCCAGATCCGATCGGAGGAAGCAGATTGCGAAAGTCGCTCGGAGCACTCCCTCCACACAAGTGCTTCTAGGTCTGGCGCAATTTATCAAGCCAACATTGCCGTCAGATCTAAGGGGTCGCTAGTGTGGCCTCGTTGGCACAAGCCAGTCGCCGATTCTCTACCAGATGACAAGTACAACAAGTAGAATTCAAAGCTAGCCGTCCGATTGTGGCTTTCTGCACGCCGTGTCGAGCTACTGCTAACCAACCAAACCTACTGCATAAAATGAACAAATCCTCGTGGCCGTACTCTATCATGTATTCAAGGCTGCTTCACCAAGAACAACCAACTGCAAGATACTCAAGACCACACATAATTTGATGACTGTACGCTCCTTCATGACGGCGAAAGGGTGTTCTCCGTAATAATGTGCGTTTCCTATTTTGGCATCATGACATACTACCCCAGGCCAATTACTACTCTGTTCTCCACAACCCGGCTTCATTTCGAATACGGAGCACAAAGTGCTACTGCGGAGCTGCAAAGTACAGTCTTTCGGTCTCCTATCCTTTGCGTCAAGCATTCTCCCGGCTCTGCCAGGTACGAAGCCTAGGGAACAGATACAAACCATAGCATCGGCCAGGCACTATTGGCTCCTCCTTATCGCCTTACAGCACATTGCAATCACGCCGACGGCATTGGATGCGACGACTGCTCCCGATTACTCCGTGTTTTTTTACGAGCTACGTTACCAGCTGCGTCCCACCCGCATATTGGTACAGTACAAGTATACAAGCAAGTATGGCGCCCCCTTCGCTTCTGCCCGCATCTGCGGCTAATGAGCAGGGAACTGGGACGGGCGTATCAAATTACTGTGCAATCAAAGAGCTCGCCTGTTCCCGCTTTGAGCAGCTGCCCCGAATGCGATCGACGACACGAGACGCCCCGTTTCTCCGAAGCCTTTCTCCTGACTTGCCCCTTGCCATCGAAATCTCGATTGCGGACGATACGGAGCTGATGGAGACGTCGAATGAAGGAGCTCGAGCGTCTTCGACCATGTTGAATAAGACCGCTTGATCTCGCCAAGCACTACGAAAGTGGGTGTGCTTTGGTAATAGTGGTAGTACTGTAGTACTACTGCTACTAGTTTCAATGCATAATGCCATGGCCCATGGAATCGCTAGCACTGTTACGAGTTGCCGTGGCACCAGCTGCCTTGGGTACCCTGTTGCGATTAATCACCGTGATACATGCTAAAGGGAGAGAGAGTCCACCGGAAATGATGCTGGCCAAACACAAGCATAGCTTTGAATACGATTTGCTTTTTGTATCTCGTGGTTTTTCTTCCAACTGCTTCCCTACATACTGGATTGCTGTCTGTCCATCCCTCAAGCCTTCAAATCAAAGAGCGGACAGGGAAGCCCCCAGCCGCTGCTCCAGGAGACACCATGCCGTGGCACCTCATCTCGACCCTAGCCAGATACGACTCATGCGGAAGACCTGAACCAACGTCGTTCGTTGACGAAGCCCTACCTGTAACTGAACACCCGATCAACGAGGATCCGTCCGTGATTTTGACTTGTCCAGAATCCCGCTGATCCAGAAGCCAATCTCGCCTTGTCCGGCCGGTTTGACGTCTATGATGGCTATTCTTGGCTCGCGGATGGCACGTGCAGACTCACGGCCCAGTTCCCTGAGCTCTAGGGCTGCTTCGATGGCATCTGCTCCAATAGATATGCCTGTCTGCTTTCATATCGCTGCCATTATTGTCCCGTATCACTACTTGTGCCGTTACTAACACTTATACTAGTAGGGAGCACGGAGTATTCGTACGTAACACTGCTCCATATTGCCAGGATAGCTATGCCAGGCAATCGAAGCCACATTGGTTCTCCTCCAGAGTGGACTGGATGTGAATGTATTCCTGGGGCTCCCGGTACAGTCGAGCGAGAGACTATGAACTACGCAAGGAGTGTATCTAAAGCGCCTCTCTCACCCTCTCAGCTCGTGATATCGTGGGATTCGGGACCAATGGGACATGCAGGCGGAGCTCGCCGGATCCAGCCTCACCGGCTATCCATGGATCACAGTCCCTGATGACTTATATGCTGACTGCTGATGGTACTAACGCTTTCTTACCTCTTGGCTGTACAACGCATCTCTCGCCACTACGTCGGTGAGGGAGCTGATGATACTGCTTGTGGTACCCATCTCCATATATATCCCGAGCTGAACGATTTGAGCTGTCCTCTGCATATTGCATGACGCAAGCTCACACGAGGAGGTGGCTTGTAAAGTAATAGTACTTTGTAAGAAGTTGCTATCTAATCACCTCGGCGTTATGAAAAAAAAAGGGGGGGTTCAAGATTGGTTACTCAAGGAGTCCACCTCTATAGCTCAAAGAGCCGAGAATACCGTAAACACCGCCAAGATGGGACGTGAATCGTTCATCTGTGCTTATACAACCTCCACCGTCAGCTATTTCAGATTCTGTGGTAGTCCCTCGCATGTAGAACAAGGCCTGCTATTTTGAGATCCCAGAATATTTAATACCTTTCTTCTCTAACTTCTCGTCTAAGGGCTCTTCGCTCTACTTTGTCTTGTATAAACTTGTCACTCTCGCTTACACAACCGAAAATGAATAGTATCTAGGATGTCTATACAATCTAATTATAGAAATACGTAGAAGCTGCGCATCGCCGTGATACGAAGTACTTGTAGGTAGATCAGCATTCTGCTACCTTCGAGGGCTGTGCTATTCTGTGTCTTGTTCACGAAAGACAATTAGGTAATATCCAAATGAAGTAGTGTGAAGGCTTATACAAAGCACAGTCGTGAGTGCAAAGTGTTATCATGGAAGATGTAGACGATTGTGCTAAAAGAAAAAGGAAACACGCTAGTTGCTCGTAAATTGTTCCAGAGATCATCTCGAGATTATGCTTCAACTATTCCAAACGTCCAGTAGCTCTTCTAAGAAGCTATTCAGGTCTTTTGAAATGTTCAAAAACAATTCACATACTACAACAATCCTACCATGTCCAAACATGACACTGATGGTTTATCACCTAACAAACTCGCATAATGTTCTCAATTCTCGAACCTTTTCTTCCAACTAATGCCGCTGTCCTAATGTAACAAAAGAAAGCACCCATCGAGCGTGCCCTTTTCAAAATCGTCATATTCTCCCCTCTAAAAAGATTCTTCAGTACAGATAAACCCGCCTCTTCACAAACAAGCGATGCTCATATCCTCCTTTTGGTCGCTTTGTCGCCTCCACATGACGCTGTATCACGCTCTACCATCATTTCTCCAAATATAGAGAAGGAGAACAAAAAAAAAAAATTAATACATGCTCCGTAGAAAGAAAAGGAAAAAAAAAAGAAAGGAAAATCTAGCCAGCTTTGAGGATCTTTTCATCGCCCAAAGCACAACGCCAGCCACCCGTAAAACCATAAAACCAAATGATGACTATTAAAAAACTGATAAGGGGGAAAATGGTAGTAAACTGGGTTAGATCAAGCACGTATTCCATACTGAAAGTCAGTCTGAAATGCGTTGATAAGAGTCGCATAGTAAAGCTCGCTGTTGGTTGTTTTACTCATTATCCAACCCAGTCATCCTGCACAAACGGGTCAGGAGAGCGGGTCGTGTTTGATGATTAATGTTGGTGGTCATGTTGAGCCTCGCTGCGTGAAGATTCACTAGCTCTTCGAGTCGAGCTGGCCGACGACGTATCCACCATACAGCACCCTTGTGCTTGGCAGTTATCAACGCATTCTAGGAGGCAGGGTCGGATTTGTTCATCAGATGCCCCATCAAGTGAGAATGCCGGTTCCTCGCCGTCGTGCTGATGCTTAATATCGAGACAAAACTCGGGCTGAATAGTGGCACTGTGGATGCCATAGCCATGAAGACATTTCCGAGCGCGCCTGGCCAGCTGCATGTACTTCTCTCCGCTGCGTGTGTCAATCGGGAAGGAGACTTGGAGATGCATGCTGGCGACAATCTTTGTGTCAGAGAGCTGCCAGACGTGAATATGATGGCAGCTGACGACTCCGGGGAGTTGTTCAATATCCTGGCGGATTTCCGGGATGCTGATATTTTCAGGAGTGGCTTGGAGCAAGACACGTGAAGTAGCAAGAGTCAGAGGAATCGACGTCTTGAGGATGATAGCCGTAATGACGAGCGAGACTGCCGGATCAGCATAGAGCTTGCCGGGCCAGTTGGTGAGCCAGATGACGAGCGCCGTTATAATGACACCGACGTTTCCCAGTGCATCACCAATGACGTGTAGCATCATGGCGTGCATGCCCATGTCGGCATGGTTATGGCCACTGACTTTGGCGCCAGCCTGTCGCGGGAGGGTATGGTTGTGGCCATGGTGCACGCTAGAATCTCGTCGTGCGCTCTGCTTCTTAGGAGCCGAACCAGTAGAGTAAGAAAGATTTGCTTTTCCATCCGGGAGGAGTGCCGATTCCTCGTTAGCCTCGGTCTCAGAGTCTGCAAAAGGAGACTCATCACCACTTTCAGCATGAACATTGGACGATGCAGCTCTACTAGCAGCGATAATTTCCTGTCGGAAGCTGGCGGGGTGGATGCTCATGTCTTCGATACTAGTAAAGCGAGAATGACCTCTGCTCGGTCGGCGTTGGTGTTCTCGCCCCCTAGACTGGACAGACATTCGGCTGGCTCCGTTGGATTCGTCGCGGTTTGTAGAGTCATCGCCAAAGTGAATACGTCTAGCCGTCTCGGGGCTGTCGGTGCTAGCTCGACGGCCTGCCATGACGGCTCTTTGGACAACCACCTCTGGAAGGATGTCACAAATGGCGCCATTTTCATCAGCGATATCACCGCCAGGGTGTTGTCCCTGTTCGACATCACAGCCGTCTCCGTGGGTATGGTTATGCTCATGCTCATGATCGTGTTCGTGTTCGTTGTCATCATGACCGTGTTCGTGGTCGTGATCATGGTCATGTCCGTGGTCATGTCCGTGACCTCCCAGGACCACAAAGCCCAGCAAGTTGGAGAACAGACCGGCGCAGCCAACAATAAGAATAAGCTTGGGATTGGTGATTTCGGGCGGCTCGACAAAGCGTGTCAAGGCTTCGAGGATGATGGACACGCAAAGCGCGATTAAGAAGACGGCGTTGAAGAAGGCTCCCAGGATCTCGGCTCGTACCCACTGCAGGCAAGGGGTGTCAGCTGCAAGTGTTCACGTTTGGTCTGCACGGAACACGTAGAAAACTTACGCCAAAGGTAAATTCGTCGGTGGTGGCCTTTTGCGACGCTATCACTGCCCACAGACCGATGGCGAGAGAGATAATATCGTTCAGCTGCAAACGGTTAGCATGGCGCGATTGCTCTCCTGATATCGACATCTCTGAGCCCAGGCGACGTGACGAGGGATCGCGCAACATACCATGTGGAAAGCGTCGGCCGTTAGCGCCAACGAATGTGCCAGGAAACCGGATATCAGCTCGAGCAGGAAGAAGGCCGTGTCGATGGCGATCATGATTTTGATGCGGGTGCTCTTGGACCACGCCATGCTGGAGGTGCTCGGCATGGCGAACAGGAATGCGGCGCCAAGCTGGCGCGCCTGGACTTGTGAAGAGTCGGCTTCAGATGATCGAAGTAGTAAGAGATCGAAAAGAGGCCGTAGAAACGTGTGCAGTAGAAGAAGATGACGGGGGAAGAGAAAATTTGCGATAAGTCGGTAGGTGGTTTTGTAATTTCAATGGATGCAGGTTCCGAGATCAAAAAGTTGTTGGTTGCAGGTGGGGTCGCCGTAAGTAATAGCGTCAGCCCAGGCGCTGCAATGCTGCAACGCCGTCTGCCGTACGGAGGAATAGCGCTGCAAGCCGCTAATTCGCAGCGGCAGAGTCTAAACGGACGCCTTGACGCGCAACGATTGGAATGCTTTCCGAAGGTCCCAGGCCCGTGCTGGCTGATTAGGGCACGTGGATGCAACTCTTCGGCGATGGTTAATAATGAGGGCGGGCAAACAGAGGGAGCAGCATCGTCGCCACCGCTGAGGTCAATTGACTGGGCTGAGTCCAAGGGAGGCGAGATATCGGGTGCATGTACCTGTAGCTGGGCGCGCTATTGACTGCAGCATGGCCGATTAAATAGCACCGGCAGCCTTGGCCACGGTTCCTCGTATGTACGAAGCGTTACATTGGCCCAGCACAGTATATCCGCTGACGGGGGACTTGTACTGTCTAAGCCGTCAGCGTGGCGCCACTTCCTGGATCCTGTTCCTGGACGGGATGATGACTGCATTGAGTCTGCATTATTTGCTCGCGGCTTCGGATGTCGCTTTTATATGCAGTTTTGACATGTTGCCTTTGAGCCGCTGCCTTGTAGTGCTCTCTTTGAAGTCGACTCTGTATTTGAACAGTCTGTCTTTGAACAGTCTTTGAACAGTACTTGAACAGTCCTTGGGCCCTAAAACAAGAAGAGACAAAAGTGGCAATACGTTTTTAGTACATGTCCTGTACACAATAGCACCCTACCTATTGTTGAGATTCACGTAGCTTTTGCTCAACAAAAGTCTATTTCAGCCTCTCGTTATACGGGCTTCCAACGCACCCATGCAGCTAATTGCAGGCACAAAGAGAAACATGTACGGCACTATCGGATGCTCCATGCTTGCATACATGCCATCTCGCAGCATTGCTTTACATTGGATACTGTGTAGATGGCGGCGCACAGCACTTGCAGCTTGGTGTGCTTTCAAAACCTGCTAGTGACCAATCCTCCGCAAAGGGTCGCCCACCAAAGACATCATCAATCTGGCTGGTGGCAAAATGCTACGTCAACAGGCCGCCAAGATCCGACGGACTGCCTGAAACAGGCGAGAGACGATCTGGATTGAAACCCGCTATTTAGCAAGTTGTGGCTCTACCATCTAGTGAAATGCGGTTGCCAGCCTGGATACCGGGTATCTATCGCACTGTTTCGTTGACGGGGGTTTCACGTTGCTGATAAGATTGAGCTTTATCAATCAAAGACCAACGCTGCAAAACTCCTGTACATTGCCTTGATTTCTCTTACGTACAAGGCTACCGAGAGAATATTAATACCTACTCATGTACGTTGCAGGTGATCCTACGACCAAGGCAAACTCCCGTCGTGTGGTATCACAGGGTAGGCCCTCATACAGTACCCGCAGCAAGATCCTTCATAATCAACAATCATAGGTACGGCAAAGTCCGAGCACATGTGATTTCCCCATCTCGCCGTGCCTACCCGAACAAGGTGAGAGTAATATCGTAAGAAGAAAAAAGAAGTCTAAGGATCTTATTGCTGATCCACACATGTTTGTGTTACACCACCTAAAAGTGGCACTAGAATCAACCAGCATTGGTCCGAGAGAGAGGTCCAAGGCATAAGCTGGCGAATAGGATGCTGTTCTAGCCCCTGCTATTACAATTTTTAATTTTCAAGCCTCACGCTCTACTTATCTATGCGGTAGCTCTAATTGTATCTTTTGAGACAAGTTAGTTTTCGGGATGCTCTCTCGTGTTTGCAGAGGATGGGATGCTTGTGAAACACCACTTACATGAGACATGGCACGTAGAATATCCTGCCGGTTTTCAGTAGCGCTTCGGGAAGCTGCGCTTTGGAAATTTCAAACGAGTTGCCTTTACTTACAAATTTAATCATAAATGGGACAAAAGCCTTGCAAGTAACATCACGCAACACCATGAAGATAGAGAGGGGGAACACCTGTTATGCAGCTATGGGGGCATACACAGCCAAGGAAGAGCTCAAAAGAATAGGGATTCTGAGGAATGTTTAATAGCTACCAACACATAGATCTATATTACACACAGCATTGCCATTTCTACGTGAGATATTCTGCTTGAACAGGTAGTTCTTTTTCTGCTTCCACTTTTGCTGCTGCCGCTTATCATATACTAATAGCTGACTTGATAAATTAAGACATATCCACCATCATTCTACATGTCAAAACGCTTTTTGATACATTCAACGTTGTTATTCCCAGTTGTGTGTAGTATTATTTCCATTTGATAGCCGTATCCAACAAACCATCACTGATGGATGCCAATTCTCAAACATACAAATATTCATGCCGGCCTATTCCCGCGGCCCAAACCCCCTGTCTGCCCGCCCAAAGAGCGAATAAGACATGGCCCGAGCCGCCCAGTTGCCATTCTGTACTCCAGTATAAAACGAGGGAAAAGACCCAACAGCATAACAGCCCATGCAGCGGTATGCCTCTCAACCAATGCCGTTTGATCATTTCTGCTTCTGTCTGCCTACCGCCCACCTTCTTTTCAGCCCCCCATGCAAGAGGCCGCTCGCACCACAGCCTTTTCGTCTACTTTTGGCAGACAAAAATGAGTTGCTGCCTTTGGCTAGAAAGAGGCGGTGCCCTCTTCTGCTGTCATACATGAATTTCTAGGACTGCAAGCCTTTTCTTCGAAGCGGTCATTTGCTATGCGTTCCTTTTCTCTGCCTATGGTCGATCTACCGTGCGATCATTGCACTCCTTCCAAGCACGTCTCGCGCGGTCATTTTTCTACATTCATTTTCTAAAGCAGAGAGACATGACCACCAACCTCGATGTGATAAATTCGGTGCCACGTGTGGCAACGCTCATTTACCAGACTCACCAGCTATGGCAAGAATTTCGAGGCGTCCCGGATGGGATTTCAGGGCTTGTAGAGCACCTGAAAGCCCTTGAACCAATCTTTGCAGAGATTGAGGACCACTTCAGTCAGGACGATGCCTCTGCATCGTTCAAAAACTGCCTTGACTTGTCAAAGAACGCACGCGATTCATTGGGCACATTGGTGGCTGACATGCGAACACAATTACAAGCAAAGAGGAGCATAAAGCGCAAGTACGCTACTGTTAAGGTTATGCTCAATAAAGCTGTGTTGGAGAGGCTTGAACAGACCTTGTCTCGGTGCATGAATTTTTTGCAGTTGGCAATACAGGCGTACCAGATGTGAGTTCAAGGCCTACATGAACGAGACCAACCATTCAATCTATATATAAGGGCATTCTAACATCGAAGTACTAGGGCAATGCTTCGGAAACTAAGCTCTCAAGCTCCCGCAGCACGGATCCAGCCACAACGTCATGCGGATGTTGAATCTTTTCCACCTCTCACACAATCACCACCAAAGAATCAACAACCGCCAAAGAAAATGCCTCAAACGCGATCCGAATTAATTGAATTCATCCCAGCAATTGCAAATGCGGTAAAGAGATCAGAAGATACACAGTCATTCCATTTTACTCTGTCACAATATGTGCGATTTGCCTTGACTTACTCAAAAACTACTGGTGCTTGGCAAGCAGAGGTAAAAGTACCAGATTGGCTGTCAAGATCAGTATATGAATTCATGTCTGCGCCGGCTATTGCGGGCTGGACGTATAGTTATCGTGTATACAATGTAATACCCGATGACTCGGAAATCATTATGAAAATCCATGACGGAGACGTGGTTGGCGTCCGACAGATGTTTACTAGTAGGAAGGCATCTCCGTTCGATAAAATCCGGGGAAAAGAATCGCTCTTATCCGTATGTATACACATATCCATAGTATGACAATTACTTACAGTCTCTAGTACGCAACATCAAAACGCCAGTATGAGATATGTCAGCTATTGCTAAAAATGGGCCTTCAACCATTGCTAGATAGCGGAGGTGGCTAGTAAGTCCTGAATTCGATCATGGTTTATAATGTACATATGATTGACACTTATACAGTAACACACCTATTGGATTCATAGCAGGCGATATAGTAAGCATGACTGTCGGAAAGATGACTTGGCCTGCCAGCAAAGATCCAAAAAGGATAGCGAACCTATTTGCATCATATCTTCAAGAGCCTGACTCCTTGCCCGCTTATCGACTCTTGGACTTCATACAGGATTTCGCGTCCGATGACATGATGCTCTCTAATTTTCGAAATCTATTCATGCCCAACTACTATTTGCGTTGGCTAGGAGATCGGCTTGAAGCTGTACGACTGGGAGCGTTCAATGTATTGAACGTGGAAACCTTTGTTGGCCTTTTTTCGAAAGATGGAACGATTTCAAAAGACGACGTAAGCCAATCGAGTGGTGAGAAACTCTCTCTCGTGCATTCAGCAGCTGTGGCATTTGGCTGCCGATATCCTGAGAAGCTGGTCACTTATCAAAAAGTATTCCCCTGGCTACATGCATACACCGAATGTTGGGATGACGCTGTGATCAAAATAGCCTCGGTAGCTACTCTTGAAGATCTCACGAGCATAGAGACCGTCGTTCCATGGGATAAGTATGAAGTTACCGCATGGGAAGGAACTCCTCTGATGTCACTCATTGGAGGAGCATTATGCTATCTCTGTCCGAAAATAAGCTATAATCATTGGGATAGGCTATTTCACGGCTGCCTTCTCAAATGGCTTACATTACTCCAATCAGCTGGAGTCGACTTACTCGAATATGGGCGGCGAGAAGTATCGATTCTGCGTCACCCCGAAAAGAATATCAAGGGCGCCTTCGACGCTGATGCAATTGAAGCTTCAAGGGGAATTGTGCGACACGCTATGACGGCGGGCACCCCAAGACCAAAGCTGCACCATATGGGCTACAGAAGGCGAGGCCACAAAAAGTTTAATCTCAAGGGACAATACACCGTTGTTGACAGATCAGGCGAGCCGTATTGGATACCTTTTCGTATAATAGATCTTGAGGTGGGCCCAAATCCAAGCGACTGGAGATTGAAATGGGCTCCGGAATTTGAGTATACGGCATCTCAATTTTGGAGGCTTATAGAACACCAAGAGACAACTATGCCTGGGGCTTGGGTGGATTGATGAGCGCTGGGAGCCTTATCAGCGAGGAGTACAGCGTAATGCAATTACACGTTTGCTCTTTGTCAAGATATGAGACGAAACAGCAAGCAAATGCAGATTTCACAGTTTCACAAGCTCGCCATATTTAGCTTTGCGTGATTACGTAGTAGAGAGCCTGATTAATACGAGCAAGCGGTATATTGGCAGCTCTTCTGGATGGATGCCCGCTAAATCGCTGCGACCCCGCACCGCCGAGGCGGGGCAGCTTCATCCCTGGCTGTCGTCTGTTCTTTACCAGGAGCCAACACATCGGACGATATTCAGTGAAATTGGCTGTGCCGGCACCACGGGCTGTTCAACGACCTATACAAAGAAAATGGAGACCAGACTAGCAAAGAAGGCGGGGTCCTGGTATAAAGCAGCTGAAGTTGATTTGATGCGTGATATTGACAAGTTCCTCGCCAAAGTGCCCGAGACTGTCGATGATTCTCAATTGCCTGTCCCGGGAGCTCGAATAATCATTGCACCGTGAGTGACCCCGGTGGACCCTGAAACTCGCTGTTCACTGATATACATATCAAGACACGCCGGATATGAATATTCAGGCGAAACCGCCGCCTGGGCCTACAGCTGCCTGGATCTTAGCAGGGCGAAGCGAGTGTTCATCCTGGGACCGTCCCATACTTACGGCCTCTCAGGCTGTGCTGTCACAACTTTTTCGCAATATGCTACTCCTTTCGGTGACTTCACTGTGGATAGAGATACCATTGAGCGCGTGAAAGAAGCGGCGAGCATGCAGAATGTGCCTCGTAGGAATGATGAGGCGGAGCATTCTCTCGAAATGCATTTACCATTGCTCTACAAACGGTGTCAACAGACGTTCAAATCGCCAGAGGAATTCCCCATGGTGGTCCCCATTATTGTCGGGAGCACCAGCCGAGCAAACGAGAAAGACATCGGCCGAGTGCTCCTTTCATATATAAAAGACGAAGAAAATGCCTTTATCATCAGCTCGGATTTTTGCCACTGGGGAGAGCGATTCGACTACACTGCATACACCGCCAATGGAGACATTGACAGTCTGAAGCATCTCCAACCCTATAGCTCGAAACCGTCGGGCCCCCCTATCTATGAATCCATTCAGTTGGTCGATGAAGCGGCTATGGATGCCGTCAAGAGCGGCAGTCATGATGCTTTTGTCGACAATATCAAACGTACGGGAAATACAGTGTGCGGAAGACATCCAATTGGAATTGCCATGGCTGCCCTGGAGCTTTATGCCGAGGAGGTCAATGACGAAAACAGGAGTCGCTTCAGAGTCGTCAAGTATGACCGCAGTAGTGAAGTTGTGTGGCCCGATGACTCGAGTGTCAGCTATGTTTCTGCTTATGCAGTTTTGTGAGAGGACGGTATCCGCAAGAGATGAAATCATCAATTAAATTAGCAGTGAAGAATGAACCATTGGGGATTGCAGTGCGAGGCATAATAACCGTACACAGACGACGATAGTATTAACCAAGGCATTAATTATAGACTTCTAATTTTGAAATTGCTTTGTCAACGCCGTGTCATTGAGCTGAAGCTGCTAGAATTGATCCTTTTCAACGCTATTTAAGCTTGCCAGTTCGCTCGCTTCCTTCGCCCTGCATGTTGGTTCATACTGGTTCAAACAAGGTCGCTCATGACCAGCTATCTCGCATATATTAAAATCCTCTTCTCATTGTAGCTCTTGCTCTGCATCTGCATCCCCGGCTGATCGGAAGGGCCACGCAACTGTCGGTGTTTATCTAGATCCGTTGTTGGGCATCTGAGGTTGATGGAGGCGGTGCTGCGCATCGTTGCCCAACAAGCTAGTCGTACAAGCATATATATTTTAGGCCGTCTTTTTTTAGAAGCCGGTGCAAATGCTGACTGCAGGCCCGAGCCATTACGAAATGCTGCGACGTGTGTAGGTGGCGCACGATGAGCTGCGGCGCCATTGTCAGCTCCAGTCAGCTCGCCGACTACAGTAGGCAAGTTGGGACCCCTCAATGGCTGCTTCAAACGGAGGTTCTCTGCTCGGCTGCGGTGTTCCGTACGTGACGGCTGCTTTGTTTGATCGCCACACAAGGCCGTTTTCCAGCGGCCTAGCGCAAAACAGGCGCTGCAATCAAAACCAAGCAGAATAAAGAGCGACGAAAACAAACAGCTTTGGTGGTGCAACGGAGCTGTTCGTCCCCGTTCCTAGGCGCTACAGCTGATACCCCGTAGTGCAATCTCTGCGACTCATCCACATGCTAGCAGGGACCCCGATGCCACCCCGGCCTCTAGACCAGGGCAAATCAATGTGCGCCACCGGCCGTTGTTCCACTAGCTCGATGCTGTGCTGAAGACGCGGATCCAATCACGGCCGTTTGTTGTCGAGACCATCTGACACCACGGAAAGCAAAAGCGAAAACGCCTTGCCCAAGGTTGCTTGGTTTGGAATACGGCCAAACATGAAGGATCGTCATGTACTTGTTGCGTAGGACTACAAGCCATGGTAGTAACAAGCTTTCATGCCCTGCAATTAATACGAATAAGAGCGCTGGCCATTGAACGGCCCCGATTATAGGCCAGTTATTGCGCTCGACCTGTGATTTCGCCTGTCCGTCGATCTCCTTATTTAGCGGCCTCTGCAAAATTACGCTCGTGATGGCTCTTATTGCAGTGCCTTCCATTTGATTAGACCAGGCGCCACGGCGTGGGCGCTTGTACCGGTACCTAGTACACGTATCTCGCTAATTTGCGGCCTGCTCCCTACGCGCAGTTCCGGCTGCCACACTCGCTGCGCACTGATACACGCCACGCTACTGCGCGTACCTGTACCGCCACTGGAAGCCAAGTCTCGTAGGGCCGCTCCTTCCCTGGTCGCGGCTCCGCTGTTGTGCAGCTGCCCCCTTCTCGCCTTCCTCTATAACCCTTGTCTGGAAACCCGGGCTTGGGGCCTCCTCTGCTCCTGGGCCATTTTATTCTCCTCCAACATTGAACAGCAAAGTTGTTTCTGCCATTTACACAATTTCTTAACCAAAAGGGCAGTGAGGCCATTGCTTTCTTGTTCCTTCTTGTTGCTTGTGTTCGATTCCCTCTTTTTTGTTGTAGTCTTTTTTGAACACAAAAGAAACAGCCGTCGATTGCTAGCCACGCTTTGCAGCTTACAGCGTTTCGCCAACCTCTGATATCCCTGGATCTCTCCTAACCGAATCCACCATGAGCGTAAGTGTTTCACCCCGACTCTCCTACGGCTGCTGTTTCAACGCGAGCGTCCCATAGCACGAAGAAAAGCATCTGCGTTCGCTCTGGAGTAGATCCAATCTTCTCTTCTTCATACTTCCATTTCCATAAACACAATCTTACACGTTTGCAAACCACATTTCGTTGTATGATACTCAGAATAGCTTGCTAATAAAATGTCAAAACAGTACGGGTTAGTATATCGCAATTGTTCGACTTGGGCTCTGCATCCAGTGCCCCTGAAACCCGCATTCCAGTGACTGACGCCCTGTCTCTCTTTAGATACGGTGGGAATCAAAACCCGTACGACCAACGGAACGACAACTATGGCGGCGGCGGTTATGAAAACCCCCCTCCTAGCTATAACAATACCCCCTATGGCTCTGGTGGCCGTGGTTACGCCCCAAATGGAGGTATGGCCGACAGTACGCATCGCTCAACCCATCATGCGGAGGTTAACCGTACACTTACAGGCTCAGCAGTCGAGATGGCTCCTCTAACGCAGAATGCCGGCTCAATGGCCCGCGAAGACCCCAATGCGATCCGTAACGAGTGCCGCGACATCAGCAACAGTGTTCGCCAAGTCGAGAGCAGCCTGGAACAGATCAAGGTGCTCCAATCCCGAGTTCTCAGCGATGTCGACAGCTCCTCGTCCAGCCAGTCCAACCGTCAGCTGGATGCCCTGACAACCGAGACCACGGCTACCTACCGCTCTCTTGTTGAGCGTGTCAGGACTGTCAAATCCAAGCCCGAGGGCCGAAGCGCCATGAACAGCAGCCATGTAGACCGAGTCGATCGAGAGGTCAAGGCCGTCATCACCAAATACCAGACTGTCGAATCCGAGTTCCAGGCCGCCGTTAAGCAGCAGATGGGTCGCCAATACCGTATTGTTCGCCCCGATGCTACAGAGGAAGAGGTCCAAGCCGCAGTCGAGGACACCGGCAACGGTCAGATTTTCAGCCAGGCTCTGATGCAGAGCGACCGCCAGGGCCGTGCTCGTGCTGCACTGAGCGCAGTCCAGGACCGACACAAGGAGCTGCTGAAGATTGAGCAGCAGATGACTGAGTTGTTCCAGCTCATGCAGGATCTTGATACCCTGGTCGTCCAGCAAGACGCCGCTGTTGTGCAGATTGAGCAGAAGGGCGAGGAGATTGTCGAGAACCTCGACAAGGGTAACGAGGAGATTGCAGTGGCTGTCACAACTGCCCGAGCCACCAGGAAGAAGAAGTGGATTTGCCTTGGTATTGTTGGTAAGTCGATTATTTACCCGCCATGAGGCTTGAGAACACGGGCTAATCTTGATAGTTGCCATTATTGTCATCGTCGTCATCATTGTCCTCATTTACATCTTTGTTGTCCGAGGAACAAACAACAACAAGAAGCGATCTCTGCTCGAAGAGGTTGCTGTACCGGCTGCTCGTCTCGTGGCTCGTCTGCCCTCAGAGGATGACATTGCTGCCCAGTTTGGCCGGATAGCCAAGGGAAGACTTCACTTGCCTGCTGCACCACAGTAATGGCTGCATCTGACGAGATATTGGAGACGAGTCTGAAAGAAGGATGATTGAGAGAGTGAAAGTGAATAAGAGGTATAAAAGGGGCACGCACGCACGCACACACACAACACACACACACGTTTTGACTCCAGTTCCGTTGAAGACACTGTATAAAAGTAGCTACCGACATGCGGCAGGACCTTGTGCCTGTATTTCTTTTGTTTACGCCTTTGGATTCGGGCGCCACACAAGGGCTATGACATTCCGGTGGTTGTTGAACGGGAACGAGCTCTGAGACTTTTTTATGTTTGTCGAAGTACAAGAGATGGCTGGTTGGATTGATTTTGTTTAGACGCCTTTACCACTGCTTTTTTTTTTTTTTTCGCCAATACGCTTTTGGTTGCTGGTTTTGGGAAGAACATTTGGAGTTTAGCATTTGAGGCGCTCAGCAGAAAGACTTTTTTTTAATATCAAATTTTAATTAAATTATTCTCATTCTTGCTCACACCTTTAAACTGGATGCAGGTTTGATTAAGACGCATAGTGGTGCATAGATCATAGATTACTAGTAATAGTGGTATTATTGTCAAATCTTGTTCATCAGTTCGCTAAGAGACCCGAGGAGGGGAGAATGTATCCTTCATAAACTGCCCAAACACGGAGAAGAAAAACAAAAAGGAGAAGATGTTGGATTAGATGGAAGCAAAAGAGCAAATCTAAGGCTGCAATGTAGCTGTGACCGTGCGCCAAACTATGCTTCCCGGTGTGCTTTGTGTATGTTCTTGGCGAGGGTAAAAGAGGGCCGAGTCTGGTATAAAGTCGAGTGACGTGACATTTGTTGGTTCGTTCATCCCATAGTAGCTACGAGGGTAGTACCCAAATAAGTCAAGGTGGAAAAATATCCCATGGCATAAGTAGAGGAAGAGAGAACGGATCGAATTAGCTCCCTCCTCTCGACGGTCTTGGTCTTGGGTATCTTGGCTTTACTGCGGCTCTCTCCCCGTATTGGTATCATCTTCCACAGCTGCGGCTGTAGCTATCGTATTATTATCGTCCCTTCCATCAGGTTGCGTTGCCATGTCCTCATTCAGCCTATTCAGCGTCTCGCGTCGTCGTTCGCCTTCGTCAACCACCTTCTTCAGCACGCCCATGCGGCGCTTGAACTCCTCCGTCAGCTGATCCACGTCTTCGCGGCCGATAATCCCAGCGGCAGAGCCGCCGCTGCTCGAGGAACCGCGCAGATTTGCGTTTGTAGGCTTTGTATCGGCGGGGACGCCTTCGCGCTCTACGCCCTCGACGCGAAGCATCACAGACGACGAGGCGCCTTCATTGTTCTCGCCCTCGTCGCCCTCGTTGTTGCCGCTGCCGCTGCCGTGCTGCTGGAGGGACAGCTGGGACGCCGTGACGGCAAAGTCGGGCGTCAGGCTGGACGCCCAGGAGACGGTCCATTTGCCGCTTGGGTTCGCGGGCGGCGCGAGATCGACGACGAGGGCGCGGTGCAGAGGGTCGGTCTGCGGGGCGGTGAGCACGGCGGAGGCGTCGTCGTCGCTGAAGAGGTAGTGGACGCGCGGGTGGACGGTGGTGTTTGTGGTGGTGTTTGTCAGGAGGGTGAAGATGGGCTCGAAGGGGGGCATGTGGTCCGACGAGGACGAGGGCGCTGCAGCGTCATTGTGGTCGTTGAGGCTGTGGCTGAGGTTGGGGTCGTAGTGGTGATGCTGTTGATCTTGTCCCTGTAGGGCAGCTGTTGACGATGACGCTGCTGCTGCTGCTGCTTCGGACGCGGTCGTTTGCCGATGAGGCTGAAACTGCGGGTGCCGCTGCCGATACGAAGCGACGGACGGAGACGGCGACGAGGCCAGGTATGTCGCAGAATCGTGGTCTGCTGCTCTCGCAGGCACCTCCCTGCCTGGACTGGACATGTTGATGTGCAAAAAAGAAGTCTCTCTCTCTCTCAGTGTGCTGTGGCGTCTCTGTGCGTCTCAACGGTGACGACGACATGTAAGAGCGGATGGACGAGGCCGCATGAGGCGCATCTTTAAAAGGGGGATGGAAACAAACGAGAGAAGAAGAAAAAAATGGCCAAGGGAATAAACAATCAAAAAAGTAGGTGGCTCTCGTTTTAGGACCCCCGACTTGTCAGCCTGGCACTTGAGCTGAGCAACTCTTTTTTTTTTTTTTTGGGTTTGCTTGTGTTTGGTTTCTTGCCTTGTAGGTAACGATTTTTAAGGCTGAGCGGCTACCGGATGCGTCACCGTCTGTCACTGGGTCCGTTACAGGCAAGGTGCTTCCATAAGAGTATCGATAGCTGGAGAGCTTCTTCTTCGGATTCCACGCCCCCCCGTTCTTCAGCTCCAGTTTAGAAAAGCCACTGCCGTCAAGAGCTTCCAAAGCTGCGGCTGTAACATTGATTCATCACGATTCGACGCCCGCTACGACTTAGGCAAAACTTCCACATGCTACTATCTGAGACATTGTCCTCTGCATCTGCATCTCCAATCTCTTATCGCCACGTGAGGCTCATGCATGCAAGCATCATATGTCATAAAGACCTGGTAGGCGGTTTTATTTTTTTTTTATTTTTCCCTTCTGTTTTTAATATGGGCCGGGGTGGGCTCAAAAAAAAAAAAAAACAGAGCTTCTCCCTATCCACAAACCCTATCGAGAAGGCAAGCCAGCCACGTCTTTCGGGCAGGATTTTGCGTAAATTTTGAGGCAGTAGTATGTTTTTTTTTTTGCTTACTGCTTATCTGTCTTATGAGGTGACTTTTCCCATGTTTTATTTCCCTCAGTATCATCGGAATGCTTAGCGTAAACATATCATGGAATAATACTGCCTTCTTTCTCTTCCCTTTCTTCTAGCCTAATTGGCCTCTGGGAAATATAGCATCACCTACATAACCTACCTAACCCCCAAAAAGCCATCACGTCTACGCCTCACGGAGCTCGCCGGGACCGCTCAAAAATAAAGTAAAAATAAAAAATTGCCATAGAGTTTAGCAGTTGACCTGCTTCCGGCCCCAAGCAGCCAAACACGAAGAGGCACAGGCGGCATTAGTCCGAAGTGACAGGTAGTAAGCAGCGCATACATGCAAAAAAAACTAAACTAGACTACATACATACAGACATACATGGCTGTAACTCTTACGAACGTCAAAGAAGTAGGAGAAAACTGCAACCCAGTTTTTAGCACGCATGTGCTAATGTAGTGCGTCTAAAAAAAAAAAAGATTTAATCCTTCTTGCGGCGAGTGCTTCTCATTCTCACATGTCGAGCTTCATATGCATCACGACGAGTAAAAAACACCTAGGCGTATCGTAATCTACAAGGCCATCACCAGGTCAAAAACATCTCCATAAACAAATCATCCCCAGCTCCTCCCAGTCTCTCTCCATCTCACCAAACTCCCAACGCAACTCTCGTCCCGTCGCCCAAAAGCCCGAACTCGGCCGCCCTTCGCTCCGCCCGTGTGCATCTGCTTCCAACCAAAGCGTCACCAGCCGATGGGCTTGCCTTTCCCTGTCAAGCTGCCAAAAAAAAAAAAAAGGGACCCCCAAAAAAGAAACGGAGCCAGTCAAAAAAGACAACCGCCATAGCTCGCAAGGCCCAGTTTTTTTCATTTGTCTTGTTCAGAGCAAGCCCGTATAGTACAAGTAAGAAGCTCCACGAGACACACACACACACACACACACATACGCACGGAAGAAAAAAAGAGGGGAGAGCAGAGGCTCCAAATTTCTAATTGCAGACCCAGAACGTCGTCTTACCCCAGTTGGCCCAGTTGGGCGCCTTCGGATTTGAAACGCACCACTGCTGAGTGACGTTTTCCCATCTGCTTGGTGCCACAAAAATCCTCCTTCCTCTCGAGCGTGTAGAGCCACGATAATGACGCTATGAAGAGCGATGGGGCTCGTGGCCAGCTAGCCCGTCGAATAGCGGAGGGCATCATCAAGCTTAGATGCTGCCAGGTGGCGCGTGGAGAGAGCCAGAGACAGAAAGAGAAAGAGATTGGACGTCTATTACCGTAACCAGAAGAGGAAGAGAAGAAAAAAAAGCCAACAACGCCTGCTCCCGTCTATTTGAAGTCTATAAAGGGATATCATCATAAGATATTCGTTTTTCCGTTGCGCACCAATGGAACCCGCGCATCTCCTTCTATTTTCTTTCCCCCCTGATCCACTCCGGCTTTGCCAAAGCATGCTGTTTGCTTCCGCCCAAAAAAGAAAAGTAGACGAAGAAAAAGAACAAAAAGAACATTCGTTACCACGTTACCGCGTTATGGGGCCACAGCTGGAGATGAAGTTCGGAACGCCTTCCTGCGGCCACGTCCGAGTCATGCAGCACCGCTCGTGCGAGCCAAGCCACCCCTCCCATTGATGCCATCTGCTGGCACTAGTAGTAGCGGTAAGGCGAGAGTCAATAGGCGTATGCGTAATGAGAATTCGATATGTGCCACACGGGCACAAAACAAAAGAGAAAACGAGGCGGAGAGAGACGTCATACCGACACTCTGTGCCTCACGAGGTGTGTAGAGCGCGGAAACCAGCCGCAATCAGACTTCGTGCTTGATCTCGAGAGTCAGCCGGCCCGTTCCAGTAAAAGAGCCCCTGCAATGTTAAAAAATTTGATAGTTAGCAACCAATTTGTGTCTCACAAAGATTGGACAAATTTGAGCTCCACAAACCCCTAATCCCTTTTGCTTGCAAAATTCCGCCTTGACCTTGACCGTCTCGGGGTTGTCATACGTGACAAACCCCCCATCACCACCGACACATTGGGCCGCAATGTAGCGCCTATCCACAATCTCTTTGCATCCCTTTCGTGGTAATTCGCCGTATTCGAATGTGCCATCTTGCCCGCCAACACCGTTAAAGTCCTGCCCTGGTCCATTGGCCTTGAGGAAGCTTCGTCCGTAGGTCGGGATCCCGAGCAGGATGCTCTTTGGGGGGAATCCTTGGGCAATGACATAGGCCACGCCAGTCGATGCTGAGGGTTCATCCTTGTTCATGGTATATAGCTGGGCGTGATGGCCAGTCTTGGACGTCCACGTGCCGAAGAAGTCATATGCCACAAGGTTGATGTAGTCAAGGTACTCGGCCGCTGTGCTGAGGTCGATTAGTTGGAGAACCTCCTTCGCCGCAGGGAGGACAGCTGTCAAAATGAAGCGGTCTTCTGGCATATGAATCCGCACTGCTGCCAGCAAGGCCAGGAAGTCGTGGCCATGCTTAGCTTGGGATGGAAACTCCCAGGCAACTATCCAGGCAGGCCAACAGTTAGCTAAAGACTCTTGTATGCGGTGAAGGTGAGAGAGAGAGAGAGTGTGTGTGTGAACTTGATCTCCGTGCTTCATCTCTCTGTTCATCCCTTGTCTTGTCCGTCTGCACTTACTGTCAACGCCATCGAGCCCGGATGCTTCCACGAGGCCAAGGGCAGACCGGGCAAAATTATCTCGGAGGAGAGTGCTTGAGGCAACAATGGGGAACACCTCTGACGCAGTGCTGCCGCCGATAGATAAGACGACCTGCAGGTGAGGGTGCCTCTGCTTGAGATGCATCAAGGATCCCAAGCCACCCTGAACACCATCCACTGGCGCTCTGGCATCGGCCCACTCATCGCCGAGCTGGGCCACACGTCACAAGTCAGCAGCCGAGCAACATCATGCAGGTGAAATATTCTCAGCTTTTTCCGAACCATTGCGCGGGAAAAGAAGCCGCTCTGCCATATGGGTGGTCTCTGGGACTTTGTCAAAACTCACAAATACATTGCCGTCCGCCGTCACGCTGGCATACGCATAATACACGTGGTTGATGCAGCTGTAATTGAGCATTCCCGGCGAATCACCTTGATATATTCTGCTGCTAGGGAAATAGACTGCATTGGTGTACATAACTCTCGCCACACTCGTGGCTATGCGTGACTTGCGGGATGCGGCGGCGCTCATCTTGTTATCGGGCTACGGACAGAAGAACCGGAGGCGAACGGCGGTGACGGAGGAGACGGCGACTTCAGCAAGGCCCGTAACCGTGGACAGGGTCATCAATTGGGAGCTGAGCGTGAAGCATAGAGCAGTGGCAAGGGATGCCCTCAGGGTTCAAGAGGGGGGGCGAAAGGAGCACGAAAGCAGCAGAATGGGACAGTTTTGTAGTAAATCGGCAACATTGTGAAGATCCAACCTCCAAAGCCCTGCCGGAGACGTGCTACCTGGGCCGGGGCTAGTTCCGGAGCTCACAAAACGACCAAGACAGAAGCCCAGGTTAGGCATCAAGGGGGGGGGGAGGGCCTTGCTGGGGCTCGATGCCGGCGTGTCGTGTGTTTCTTGGGGGCATGATTGCCAAACACCATTTGCACGCGGCGTGGTACGGAGCACTCACTCATACGAGCATACACCGATATAGCAGGCAGAGCCAAAACCCTAGGCCGAGCAAAAGACCTGCGGTCCGGGTGTGGGACGGGCGAAGAGCAAAAGTCGAATAGCATGCTGAAGTGGGGACCTGGGGGGTCTCTGAATTGTCTTGGGCACTGAGCACAGAAAGATGGGACACAGGTACGAGAGAGAGAGAGAATGCAAATTGCGCACTGGGAGAAAGGGCATTGAGGGTCCAGACAACGGCCTGAGAGTGGCCAGGGTCCAGGGAGAGGATGAAGACAGCCACGATGCATGACATAATTGCGGGGATTCCAACTGCTGACTTGCGTGGGAAGACGAGAGTGACATATATAGAGAGAGCAGAGGGCAATGACAGCATGCGTGGGATGGCCAGATCTTGGAGTGTTGGCCGGAGACGGTGCTCGGTGGTCGTAGTGAGCCACCACCAGGCGGAGCCGAGTCCTATTCTGCCTGAACGTATCAAGAACGAATGCTTGGCAAACGTGGCCTCGCACATATCAGCATCCAGATATAGCCATGGCCGTATTTTAACTCATTCGCTCGCTGTTGCCATGCCCAGGTGTTGGTATAGGTGCTGTGCCATCGGCGATCAGAGTCGGGTGGAGGGGGGTGGATGATGGCGACCCGTTGGGAGAGCTAAAGGCAATGGCTGGAAGGCCGAGAGTTTAGAGCCGCCCGGATAGCTAAACTGATGAAGTGGACATCAACCAAAAGGCCCGTTCATCCCAATCCAGGTACCGCTACCGCTCTTTTTGCGGCTACTGCCGCTGCAGCCAATTCTCTTTGCTTGAGACGTCTGCAGTCTCTTCATGGTTGACCTTTTTTTCTTCCCTCTTCCCTCTCGATATCTCTTCTCGACCTCCTTCTTAATCTTTCCGCACGGACTCTGGGTCCTAAAATTGGGCCGCCTTCACCCTTGTTTCGTTGTCGCTCTGGCTCAGGATTCGTGGCTTCACAGGCGCTCCTAAGCGCCATGGCTACATCATCCATGGACGACGGAGAAGGTCCGTGTTTGCCTTTCTTGACCGCCGGGTTGCTCCCTGCTTAATCGTACATATTTGATTGACGTTTAGGCCGGCAGCCGTGAAGTGAGACAGCCAATGCGTCGGCCTGACGGCTCAACCAAATCTCTCCGATTAGCCAGCCCGCTGCTGGCAAGGCGAGATGGCGCTTCGCTGGCGATGATGAAGCGCCCTTGACCGGCAAGCTTGACCGAGACATGTGGCACATCTCACGTCGAATCATGTCAGATTGAGAGTATGCTTCGTCGTGAGACAAGGGCGTATTGGAGCGGCGAGGCCGAAATGAACGTGGAGTTGCTCCATATAGACCATTACGTCTCCGTCATGAAGGAATAAGACACGGAATTGAGCGTGCATCTCCTTCGGCCCATGCTAAAAAGCTTTTTGCTTAATAGGAAACCCTAGCAACGGTATTATTTGTAAAATGCTCACTGTGAGACGCCGGATGTAAGAACTTGGCCGCAAACATTCAACATAATGTGATAATCTGACACCGACGTGACTAGTATTTACCTTGTTGTTCGGCCAAAGCAAGTCTGAGTTGGCATGGGGCAGTGTAAGTGTGAAGTGGACAGGGAAGAGGTCAAAGTGAGGCTCTTGGAGCAGGCTGGCAAGTCACGGCATAACCAACTGCAGGGTGAGTCGATGGCCAACCGCGCGCAAGGCTGTCGAAAAGTCGTCTCAGACAATGACTCTCTTCTCCTCTCTGCAGCCCTCTTCTCCCGGTCGACCTTTTTCTTTCCTTCTTTCTTGAGTCTCATACATGTTGTATGCTCAGTCCGGGAGAGACGTGGTGACGGTCAGATTCTTTGTATAGACTGCGAAAAGGATGAACCTCTGTTGCCGGCCACCATATGGAGTAGTATAAAGAGGAGAATGACCATTTCTCCATTCGAGGGAATTTTTTTCCGATCTACTGCTCGGTCTCCTCCCGTCGATTGACCAATGAACGGATAGGTAACGTAGAACATTCACCGTCGAGGGCCGGCCGTGGTCATTAATGTGCTTACAAAGTACAGACTCGCTTGGCTAATATTGAAGCTTCCCACAACCTGCATGGCCCCCTCGAGGAAGAGGTAGCAGTAATGACTAGGTACCGTCCTGCTAGCTGTGCTTTCAGACAGGCAGCCATGCTTTCAAGCTCAAGCACGGATTGCATTTTCTCCTTTCCCAGCTCAAAGGATTTGTTGACTCGTGATGTGCAAGAGCACGTTGGCTTTCAAGCCCTTTGCGCGTTGGTCTCTTTCTGCTCTGCTCGATTTGAAATCACCGTTGACTCATACGCTAGATATCGGTGGGATTGTGAGAGCACTCTTAGCCCTAGAGTGAGGATTTCGTGTTTCGCTTGCCGTGCTGTGTGCTTCGTAGGCGCCTTGGTTAGTCATACTATGCCATCATGCCGCAAAGGTCGCGATGTTCCAGAGCTGAGTTTCACACCTGGGGCATGTTGCATCCGCTACGACATCAGCCGCTGCACAAGCTATACGTGCCGCTGCACAAGATGCTGCACAAAGCTGCACCGGTTAAAGAGCCACAACCGCCGTCAGCCTGCAGCTGGTAGCTGGTGTTGCTAACAGTACATGCCATACTGCGTAGACGTACGGGTATGGAGAAACCCTGAACAAGTCTCCGATGGCCACCGCTAGGGCATGGCGGGGGATGCTCGAGCACAGGTCGCGATCCTTGCTGCGTGGTGGCCACAAAAGATTTGATCCAGGCGTCGTGACTGGATGGGCAGGCACAGGCACCGTTTGTGGCTGCCACGTTTTGATGTCACCACTGGGGAAGGAAGAGCCGAGCCTACTGCGTCCCTCCCATCCTCCCTCCATCTTGTGGCCTATAAGAGCAGCGTATTCAAGAGTGCCGGTAACGGCAGGTATGAAGGCTCTGCTGCTCCCTGTTGGCTTATACTCGCGATTACCTAGTTAGTACATTGCGCTGCTGCTGCCCAGGCAATCGCTTGGAAGTACACGATGCGATTTGGACGCTACAACTACAGGTTTTTTGTACATGTGCTTGGCAATTCTGCGAGTGAGAACACGCCACTTGCAGCTGGGAATCACTGCATCTCCAGGGTTGCTTTGCTTTCCAGCTGACCTGCTGATACCTGCTGATACCTCTTGATACCCAACAGCAACCACCGACCGGCCAGACCCGATGTATTCACGTGTGCACCTGGTTTCTGCTGTATGGAAGACGCACGGAGCGCTCCTCTATGGAGATGTGTGCAATGATCCTTCACTGCATGCCTTGGCACTTATCTTGCCCAGACGTGGTGGCCTTGTTGCGTCCAATGATGCAGCCCGCAGGGATCGAGGGCTGGATTACTGCTGCTACTGGGTATTACTACTGGGACTGCTATCTGCAATCTTGGATGAGAGGCACAGCCCCTCCAAGTGGGCTCAACAGGCTCTGGATGGCTTGCTGCAACACCACGTTTTCGGCAGCTGTGATAGGAGAAAAATCTGAAGCGAGACAAGCCAAGCGCGGCACATTTGGAGCACACCACTTGACGGCCCTCGTCTTGTTACTGGTCCTTGGACGATGGAGACGGAGCACGAGCACAAGCACGAATGCTATCCATCTTCTTCAGCATTCCCCGCTTGTGTAGCTGCATATACTATGGTGCGTGCCGCTCGGGGAGGATCTCGGATGCTGCCGGGGTGCTTTTAGCCCTTCTTCGAGGCCCGAAATAGGACAGGCCTCGGGTGTGTTGCATCGCGGGTATCACAGCCAACGCGTGGGTGTTCGATGATTGCCTGGTGACGGGAAGTACCACCACTCGATGCTACCTCACTCATGGGGCGTTTTGCGCTGCTATTTGCTGATCCCATCACAAAGGCTGTATCGATGCCGTCAAGTTGCGCGGGACTGCACAGAGCTGGGTCGGTGCGGCTTCTTCCCTTTTGCGAAATTCACTGACAGAGACTCGAGCAGGCCATATCGCTCCATGCCTATATATCCCACGATACTATAACACTCATGTCGATGGTATTGATATCCACGATGCAGCGTACTGCTACAAGTGAGACTGCGACATACTTGTGCGTGTAAGCAAACCAACAGCCTCTCCGTACTACACACCATCTGCACGCCGTCTGCGCGCCCGCAGGCCCGATGTTCGTGCTGCCACTTCCGGACCCTGCTCTCTGTCCAGTGCCGCGGATCGGGCTCGTCCGGCTGCTGCCTGTTCATTGCTTGTGTATGCCAGTATCGGACGCCTGAATCGCCGGCAGGAGGGATTGTCTGGGAAGCATCTCCTACACCACACTTCTGCCATCAGTCTACATTGGCTCGAAGAGCAGGGGCACCGTAATTCATGTCTGCCGTGCTTCTGGATTATCCACCGGCTGCGAAATTAGCAACAGGCCTGGGCAAACTGACGGCGAGCCGTGTTATACAAGGGACCGGCTGCGCGCCTAGATGTGCCATGCCAAAGGCTTAACCGACTGCGACTAGTGCTTAATCTCTGAGGATTCAAGCTCCGCCAATTAAGCGCGACGGCGGGAAAAGGAAGAGAAGAAAGAGCTCTTGGGCTGATGCAGGCTGCTGCTCACTTGCATTACACCGAGGTGCCAAGCTGTGGTTGTTGCTGACCCTTTCCGTCTTCCTCGGTAGTTGCGCGTCAAAGTACTTGTAGCTTCTGTGCAACGGCGGAGAAGGCAGAGATGAGAGGCTAATTAGGGGACCCCCTCATCTTGACGGAATATGCCTGCTAGTGCCTGGCAGGGAAGCGTTTAAAAGGGACTCGCTGCTAGCAGTAGTCTTTCTTCAACGGTGGAGCTTTCGAGGTTCCACTTCGGTCCTAACCGTCTCTCTCTTAAGGCAAACAAAGGGTCATGGCTCCGTCTGCGTTCAAGTCCAACCCAACTCATTTACCCACACGCTTCCTAGGGCACCATGTATGACGACGATGACACCACGTTTTCGCTGGTGTCAACAGCGTCGGTGACGGATGCGACGAGCGTCACGACGCGGACAGAGCTCGAGAATGCGGACGACGACATTGATTTCGAAATCGACGACGCCACGAGCGACTTCGAGAGCGGCTGGGAGGTTTCATCAGGGCCGTCCACCTCCGTGCCCCCGAGCGTTTACGAAGACGAGATCGCCTACGGCCGGCGCTATCATGGCTTCCGCAGAGGCATCTATCCCATGCCGAATGACGAGGTCGAGCGTCACAGAGAGGAAACAGTCCACGCCCTGTTTCTCCAGCTAATGGTACGTCCTGCTTTGCTTCGCGCGCCGGCGTATGGCGTATGGCGCAGGATGCCTTCAGCCTCGCGCGGTGCTGCCGAGCATCAACCACCTACTTGGGTTATCAAATGCTTAGAGGGATAATTTGGGTTGTAGGGCGGGCATTTGTTCTATGCCAACATTGGCGATTACCCCCAGAAAATCATTGACATCGGAACTGGCATTGGTAAGTCGCTTTGGCGAATCGCTGTCAAGTACTTAAATGCTAACAAGCTCTTGAACAGGCATTTGGCCCATAGATGGTATGACAAAACTTTTTGCATATTCGCGTGCATACCGGCGCAACGGCTCATTCTTCTCGGCGCATAACTAACTGATATCCTTCTGGTAGTCGCTGATCAGCATCCAAGCGCAAGCGTCATTGGCACTGACCTTTCACCCATACAACCACCATGGGTGCCTATCAACGTGCGCATGTTTATAGAGGATAGCGAGGAGCCCGAGTGGCTCCACGGATCAGATTTCGACCTTGTACACTTCCGACAAATGACTCATGTGTTTCGAAACCTTCAGGGCCTTCTCACCAAGATATATCCGTTCGTACCCGTCGTTGCTGACGTGCACCCTTTCCGACCCTGAAAACAGTGGCTAATTATTTGGGGGGATAGACATGTCAAGAATGGTGGCTGGGTGGAATTCCACGAACTCATTTTTGAAATCCGGTGCGACGATGGATCTATGAAAGAAGACGACCCCCTTCGAGTGTTTATCGAGACGATGAAAAATGGCTTGCGAGTTTACGGCATCAATATTCTTACCATCAATGAGCTTGAGCAGATTCTTGGAGAAGCTGGATTCACAAACGTCCACTGCATCACAAAAAAGGTGCCGATATCGACCTGGCCGCGCGACAAGACACTGCGAGCTCTAGGCGTTTTCATGAAAACAACCATTAACGATTCTCTTGGAGCCATGGCCGCGAAACCCCTGGCAGCCCTCAACCTCTCTCCAGCACAACGAGTGGCCATGCTGGAAGCAGCGCGAGAGAGCCTGGACGACACCTCGATCCATCGTTACATCAACTGCTGTGTCTGTTACGCGCAAAAGAGAGAAGGCCACTATGCCGAGACCCTCTACTGAGCTGTATCGGCGTACTTGGCCTCTGCTTTCCTTTACGTTGTTCGCTATGATTTTAAAACGCTGGATTTTTTCCCCTCTCGGATGGGACACTCAATCTTTAACAGGGGTTACACCCTTGATCTGCACTTGAAAATGATTGGCCTGTTTTATTTGATTTACTTTTTCTCATACGGAGTTGCAACGGGATTTTCTATTAGAGATTGTGTATAGGGCTTATTGCTGGCATCAAAAAGCTTTTGCGAGTCTGCATTCAAATTTTACTTATAAGGGGTGGCCTTGTCCCTTTTTTCTGGTCTACCATGCATATCTTTGATATATATATATATACTATATAATAATACCCGTGGCACTGCAATGCCGCTTATAGGATTCATTTCGCACAGCCTTGTGTCACTATTTGCTGAATCGATGGCTAAACAATGAGCAGAACGAGAACCAATGCCAGTACAGTCGACATTTTATGAGCCAATAGCTTCAGGGCCAAGTTACCATGCCATTAAGTAGTATGAGGTTAAGAAATCTTCTTTACGATACTATGTATGAAGAGCGCAGATTACTCACCCTTTGTAGGACGTCCCATGAGGTACTGCTACAGTAAGATAGACATGTGGCTGACACATCCGCGCTAGTAAGTGGCCGTAGCTTTCTGATCCAATTGCTGGCCCAAGAGCTCCAGCTTTTCGCCTCTCATCATCCCTGCACAATCACCACTACAACAGCTCTTTATCGTACACCACTGAATTCACCATCAGGACATTGTTTCTCACTATATATACCTACCAAATCGATAGATAACCCGCTAATCAGCTGCAAACACCCCATCCCGGGCGTTTCTGCCCAAGCCAACCCCTCCAAAGACCAGCAAATCGACCACCATGGCCGCCACAACGACCACCTCGTCCTCGTCCAGAGACCCTGTCGCCACCATCCTCAACCACGCCGCGCATTCCTACAGCTTCCGCTTCTCACCGTTCCTCCGCCAGACGTACCAGGTCGGCCTCTCCCCCGACCGGCCGATATGCAAGGCCTTCCAGGCGGGCAGCTGCCCCAACGGCACGCGCTGCTCGGAGCGCCACGTCTCGGACGGCCGCTCCAAGGACGGCTCGCAGCAGCAGCAGCAGCAGCAGCACCCGTCGGGCGGGCTCAACTCGCTGGTGTGCAAGCACTGGCTGCGCGGCCTGTGCAAGAAGGGCGAGCAGTGCGAGTTTTTGCACGAGTACAACCTGCGTAAGATGCCCGAGTGCAACTTCTTCATGCGCAACGGCTACTGCTCCAACGGCGAGGAGTGTCTGTACCTGCACGTCGATCCGCTGTCGAAGCTGCCGCCGTGTCCGCACTACGACATGGGCTTTTGTCCGCTGGGCCCGCTGTGCGCGAAGAAGCACGTGAGGAGGAAGTTGTGCGTGTACTATCTCGCGGGCTTCTGTCCTGATGGGCCGGAGTGCAAGATGGGCTCGCATCCCAAGTGGTCCAAGGATCTGGAGAAGCCTGTGCCCAAGAGCGCGGAGAAGAGCGAGGATGAGATGAAGCCGGATATGCGGCAGATGTTTGGGGGAGACGATGATGGGGATCGGTTTAGGGATGGGGGGAGGGGGGAGAGGGAGGATCGCGGGCATGGGAGACATGGAAGGGGAGGAGGGGGGAGATGGAGAGGCGGAGGGGGACGAGGGAGGTATAGGAGTAGGGGCCATTGAGAGGATGCTGAATGGGGGTTATGATTACGATGTGGGAAGAAGTTTGGGAGGACTCATGGGTTGTTACGATATATATATCATTGCTTTACTTTTCGAGCCCATAATGATACCCCACTGGGATAGAGGCTATATGGGAGGGAACAGGTTTACTTGGTTTCACATTGAGCGTTATATAGGGAAATTAGCATACGGTCTTCTGGAATAAAGGGAAACACGAGAGGATCCAAGTATGAAAATGATTCAATGAATGAGTGATCAAATTTAGTAAAAAAAAGTCGTGAGCGTATCTATGTACCGTCAATGAGTATGAGAGTGGGTTTCCTTTCCATGTATACATAAAACATCCAATCGTTAAATACGGGCTTTCAACATATATATAATATACCCATAGTGCCAACTGTTGGCCATGCTGTTCCGGCAGGCTGTGTGCGTCATGAAAATCCAAGAAATAAAAAGGAAAGAAGAATGATTTGTCTTTCTTTTTCTCTTTTTTTACTCCTTTTTTTTGTTTTGCTTTTTTTGTTTTGTTTTTCATTTCTGTTGTGAGTTTCTTAAGGAGTGGTGGCCTCAGGAGCAGGTTCCTCCCACTTGGCAGTCTCCCCAGAGTTCCAGACGTTGCCCTCGGACTGAACGGCAATAAACTCCTTGGATTCGGAGATGGATCCCTCTGCGCCCTCGTCGTCACTGCCATCCTCGGAGCCTTCGTATGAGCTCGTCTTCCAGGTGGAGAGCTCATCGACCTTGCGGATGCCCATCATCCATGAGACGATGCTTCGGGGGGCCCATCGGCCGACAAACCCGTAGATGCTGGCGCCGAGGCCGATGCGGACGGTGTCAGACTTGACGGAGCCGTCGATGACGTCGAAAACGGTGGCATGGAGATGACGGAGAGAGCTGCCTTTCAAGCCACGGATGCGGGCCCCGGAGATGGCAGATGCGGTCTGGGCGACAAAGTTGCGTCCGTAGACGTGTCTGGCACCATCGGGCCAGATCAAAGTGTCTTCGGGGTTTCCTGCGCTGGTCACCAGGCCCTGAGTTGGCGAGCCGGTGCGGATCGGCACGAAGCCGGAGAAGTCAAAGGTGCCGAGCTGCATGTGGGTCACGGGAATGTCGAGTGGTCGCAGTTCGGCCGTCAATACCTCGGTGAAGGCTGAGAGAGCGGAGCAGACGGTGGCCTCGGGAGCGTGGAAGGGTGGGTTGATGGAGGAGATGATGGAGGGAGTAAAGACCAGGACCTTGGGAGGGACCCATTTCTCGCCAATGGGGCCGAGCCTTGATGTGAGCAGCGGCAGGAATGTCTGGATGGTGAGGATGGGCTGCAGCAAGTGGGTGTTGAAAAGGTCGGCAAATGCTGATGGAGGGATGGTGGCGATGGGAGAGGTCTGGTAGTGGAGGCTGGGAATCAGGAAGACGGATTTGAGCGTCAGCTGGTTCGGCTTGATGTTGGGGCCTGGAGCTCTGGGAGATGTGAGGAAGTGGGCGAAGCGCTCAATGGCGAGTCCGGCATTGGGAGGCTGGTAGCTGTCAGCAAGTGTATCCTTCATTTTTGCGACTTACACACAGCAGCTTCGGCTGTAGAATTGAGTCTCTGGGGCAAGGGGGCAAAAGAGGCTCACATTTGTGGTGTCAATGGTGAGAGGCATAATGTCTGGGCGGGAGAAGGACTTGACGGCGGCCTCATCTTCAGTGGCATTGCAGACGATGAAGACGATGAAGCCGCGCCTCTCCATGTCCAGAGCCAGCGTCTTGGTCAGCGGCAGTCGAGGCGACCCCGCGATAACAATGACCTCGCTGCGGCCGCCATTCTTGCTTCGCTTGGCCCTCCGCACCTTTCGCACGTATTTGTTCTGCTGGTAGCCTTTGTAGGCGACAACGCTGGTGATGACGACGGCGGTTCCGATAAGGTACTTGTTCCTTGAGAACCAGTTCTGCAGCTTCTCGATGCTGGACAGGGGCACGACAATGACCTCTGGCTTGGGAGGAGGAAGCGGCTTCACAATATCGGGCAGCCACTCGACCGTCGCCAGCCTCTCGCGGACAGCCTCGGAGGCTTTGTCGACGCCTTTGTCGATGAACTCGGCGGCATTATCCGTGACTCGACGAAAGTGGCCCGAGATGCTCGAGAGCTAAGAGGCAAATTTTGAGGTTAGCAGCCGCGGCTATATCTCGGCGGGCGAGCTGATGGGCGAGTCTTACCACGTCCATAACCTGCTGGTTGTTGTCGGACGACATGATGGGCCTCTAGAATGAAGCGTGGAGAAGACGAAGCGGAGGAGGAGAGAGGAAGAGAGGAGGAGGAAGAAAAAGAGAAGAAGAAAAGCCTAGTTGGGCTCTGAGCCTGATGACGGTATTCAGAGCAGACGCTTTCACAGGAAGGTGTGGAGACGGCCAGCTGGTCCCGGTGGATGGGGTCCCGGCGGCGGCTTTGTTAGTGGGATGGAGGGAGGGCAGAGCGCTACAAGGCGCTACAAGGCGCTATAGGGCGCTATAGATATGGAGGGGGATCCTGTGATTGGTGGCGGCTGCACGGCTAGAGGGACAGCAGCTCGTCGCTCTAGGGCTAGCGGACGGCACCCGGTATGGGGGAGCAAAAAAAGAGAAGAAAAGCAGAGGGCTGGATATGGCTCTGGGAGGAATTGATCCCCAGACGGTTGTTTATGTGCTGTCGTTTACAAGCATGATGCGAGTCGATGGATCTCAATTGCAGCAGTTGTAAGGCATTTATGCATGGGCTCTGCCGTCCCAAGATGAGGGGAATTGGGTTCGGGCAGATTAGAGTGTCACATGCGGGCAATCAAGCTCTGCCAACTCACCGCTCAACTGGCACTTCTCCAGGCAGCCCCGGTTTAAGGCGAGCGCATTGCACGCCCACTTGAACCAAGTCACGGCTGCATTGTCTCTTTGCCTCTTTGCAGGCATTGCCGTTGATCATGGCGGCCGTGGTTCGATTTGTCTAGCGGTGGTTTGCATGAAAGGGGTAAGATGAAACCATGCCATTTTCATTTTCTTTGATCTAACAGCTGCTTGTTCGTGAATCCTGGCTTCCTCCACCTCCCAAATCGAGAAACAAAAGACTTTGACGCCGATATCCAAACGTTTTAAAACTCCCGCTGGACAAAGAATGCCCCTCCCGCTCCCAAGACCCTGGTCTATATGTACAGAGTGTACAGCATGTCCGTATCAACATGTATCCGTCCGCATCCGGCATTCGTGACTTGCTCGCATTCAAAAACAATGGGGTATCTATGTACGAGGACGCACAAGCAAATGCATGTCCATCTGCAGCCTGAGCCAAGCCAATCCTAGACAAACGAAACGTATACAAGCGGGGTGACATATGCGTTATACGTGCTGGGTTTGAAGTACTGCGTCCACGTCAGATAGATGCCGTCGTCAGTCTTGCGCAGCAGGTGGTGATGCGCTTGCAGGCTGTACGACGGCAGCTCTGCGTCGCCATTGGGTCCGGAGTAGAGGAGGTAGGGAGTGATCCAGGGGCCCTCTGGGCTTGGGGCCGTCGAGATATAAAAGTCTGCCCAAACGCTTGGGCTGTTCTGGCCGATCCAGATGTACGACTGGGCCTTGCTGCAGTAGTAAAAGGTTCCCTGGCCTGTCGTCCCGGCATTGGGGACTGCGGCAGCCGGGTTGATGATGGCAGGCTTGGTGCTAGTCCACTTGCCGCTCACATAGTATTGGTATTTGGTCTTGTCTTCAATGCTGTTGACCGGAACCCTTGCCAGAGCAACTCCGCTCGGATACAGCAGTCCATAGAGGTAGGCATACCCGCCGTTAACAACGTTGCCATAGGTTCCATATGCAATCTCACCCGCTTTCCAGAAGCTGGTGTCCACAGGCTTCACAGTCGGGACAACGTTGACATTGGTGTTGGGCTTGTAAGTCATCTTGTGGAGGGTAACCGAGGGCTGAGTTGTCAAAACCTGGAATCCACTGCTAGTTATGTGGTTGTTGGATATCCAGGTATATGCCGTGGCAGTCCCATCTTGGGCCGTATTCGAGACCATTGGTGGTGAGTCCGGCCAGCTTGTCCATCGCGATGTGCCATCAGCGCACACTCCAGAGCTCGGGCACTGGTTGGAGCCCAAAGCATAAAAGGTAGGAAGAGACGGTTGCGGGCCCTTCATCAGCAGAATGTTATTGGTGCCGTTTGATCCAGCCCCGGCTGGTCCTCCAGTCTGGATGGATGGAGATCCATCTGGGTGATGGTCAGTCCAGCCGACGGTGTTGGTAAACACCCATCCGAACTGATCGGTGCCAGGGAGGCGGACGGCCGTGTCTCGGCAGGTCCAAAGAGTGCGGCCGCCCATATTGACTGAGCCGCATGAGTCGCGGCTGACGCTGGGATCCGTGACATTGGCCACGAGAGTTGCGCTCTTGGCTTGAGGTCTGTACTGAACGGCAGGTTTTCGAGACATTACAAACGTTTTTTTTGCACCCTCTTGAACGGGGAGAGCGTATGAAACTGAAACAGCCAGGCTGGCTGCAAGAAGTTGAATAAGATGCATCGTTAATCGCTGAAGTCTAACAAATGATAGACAAAGGACTGGCTGGCAGTAACGACACCAAAAAAAAAAAGAACGACGAGAAAACACGCAAAAAGTCGGATAGCCTTATTATACCTGATGTCCAGCACCAGCCACTGGCGTATACCGAACCTAAAGCTGCTCAACAAATGAATGACAGTCGGTGTCGTGGGTTCCAGACCCAGACTTTCCGTGGAATGGCGGGCGCGTGAAGAGAGGTAAAGTTCGAGACCATCAAGGCACAAGAAAAAAAGACACCATCGCCACCGATAGCGCAGCGTGCTCAGTCCAATATATGCGACCGCCAGCACAAGCGCCTATGCACGCTGAGATTCAGCCTCAGCCCCTGCCTTTCCTTGCCCTTCTTGGAATGATAAGGCAGCGTCGCAGTTGATCTGGAGACTCCAGTCGCTGGCTGCTAATTAGTCTAGAACTGGACCTGTGGGCGGCAAGCCCGTCCCGATAGCTTGACGAGCGCCGAGGATCCAGAATAGCATCAAAAAGCTGCGGACTAGGCCAATAGCGCTGAAGCTTAGAGGCCTCGCGAGTAGATATTGATAGTTTGTAGATGGCGTTTCCTAGCCATGCTGGACCCGCTTGCCACCGCTTTCTCTTGCAGCAGGTGACTGACTGTCTTTGTTTTTTTCCATCGCCATTTGTTTTTCCCAGATGGTGAAACGTTTGCTGCATTGATTTGCAGGGACACAGCTGGATCTGGCCAGGAACAGCGTGGCTGGAGCAATCTGCAGCGGGACGACAACGGAACAATCGACCAGGCTAGGCAAATCCGAGGTCGATCTCAGGCTAGCCTTGGGGCTACGATCTTGCCCTTGTCTCTATATATGATGACAACTAGGGCTGGATACGGAGTACAGAACAGAAAGGTCACAGATACACGTGGTATCTAATACGAGACATCCAAGCCGCAGAGTTAGAAGCCGCTAAACTTTACAGCTACATTTGACTCGGTAAGGATGGAGCATGTAAAAGTCAGAATTGAGTTTGTGGTCCTGCCCACGCGAAAGAAGATTGTGTCTAGGTAGGGATAAGGTAGAGTACATGAAGACTCGTCATGTCTCTTTAGAGGATTGTTGAGAAGTCTCATCTTGAAGGAGGTACTTTGTGAAGGTCATGCATGTAAGTTGTAATATATCGGAGACTCTCGTACTTGACCAATGAGCTCAAACCTGTAAACATTTATACGAGTGTTGGCTTTTATGGAGAAAAGATACTCCAATCTATTCCACTTAGGAATATTCATCAAATGCCGGACTGGACGGTTGATCCCTACATGTAATTGCTCCTAAAGCACCGGAGCCGATAAACGCCGCCATTAGACGACTCCGTGATATGGGAAAAATTGTATCAAATGCGTATTGTCGGGCATTGCTACGTGGATATAGATTGGGACTTTATTTGGCTAGCTCTTGTAATTTTTCAGGTTTCTATTCTGTACGAAGCAAGACAGTTATCGTGGGAGCCTAATCATGTTATCCACCATCTTGATGCTTGAAGTTAAAACTTTCGGTCTAACTGATAGGTCATAGCTCGCGAAAAGATTATGGTACATATACCTAGCTGAAAGATGGCTCAGGGTCGATTTGGGTAGCCCTACCGTAGGTAAACTTGCTAGTCTTCAATAACCAAGGATAAAATGGCCACTATATGATACAATAGCTTGGAGCCGTATATCATGACCAACATGCGATGTCGAGCTTCGGATCTAATAGTGATGTGTGATGCGAGGATAACGCTCTTAATGGTAACCAATAAGCCCTAGGTGATTCCGTAGATAAAGGAGATGTTTGCAATGGGCGGGAAAATTGAACATGGAGAGCCATCAAGTCGTCGCCAGGGTCGTGGTGTGAGCATGGTGGATAGATTCATGTTGCCATGTGGTGGAGATTCGCTGATCAAGAGACAAGTCAAGCAGATAAACACAGACTTGTAAGAGAAAACAAGCAAAGCTCACTTCTACAAGAAAATTTTCTGATAGAGCATCTCCATATAACTTGCGGTGTTATACCTGGCAGTATTCAGTATCCGCCCACTACCTGGAGACAAACTCGCTCATATGGTCTATAGACTGCGGAGTCAAGTTGAAAGCATGCACCCCTACGCGTGGTCAGAATAGCGTGCCAGCCCTGAATGCTTAACCGTTCAGAATTGACGCAATCTACTATTTTTATATCGCTATAGATACGGAGCTACTCAATATGGACTCTTCAATGGAAATCTACAACATGGAAAGCTGGAATTAATCCCTACTCATTAACATCATGGGGCTCTTTCATCCAGCACTCGATGGCCTCTTCGTGGCTGATACCCATCGTAAACTTGATGAATTTGGCGTAATTCTCGATCTTGGGCAGCTCGATGCCTTGGTAGGCACTGTGTAAAGTGCTCAGAATAATGGGCGCCGACCAGCCATAAAAAACGACACGATGAATGTTCCATACAAATTGAACGTCTTGGCCTTTCTCTTCAATTTAGATAGCCCTTGAAATGGTTAGCTACAAGGTGGTTGAGGATAAGCCTGTCGTTGTTCAAGTTTTTGCGACTGGCGATCCTATCTTTAAACAGGATGACTTGAATGCACAGTCGCTGTCTTTGTAAACTAGGGAGTGATTAAAGAGAGCGGCATAAAGAGGCTATGGCCCGAACAGCGAGACTATATCAATACGACTCTATAGCCCGCGAAATTATAACAACGATTAGTGGTAATAAGGATGCTGGGAAGAGTCAACCAAATGAAGGGCGCTCTTGAAACGAGACCGTGTCAGTAGGATTTCTCATAGTGCTTACAAGCTGTACAACGCTGCTCATACACATGAACTGTTCAGATCTCGGACGTTGGCGGAAGGAAGATGAGGCGTTGGCTGCTGTAAGATACACCGAATGTATGTAATAGGCGATATAAGTGTTTAGAGACTCGATGGATCTCTCTTGAGGCTTATTGAATATAGCTTTACTAAGCAATCTGTGAATTGCCCTGAATTATGCATTACTGTGCGTTCAACGTGTGAATTGCATGTCAGTATTGACACGGAATTATACCCTCAAGTGCACCGCACGTGTCCAGAGTGAGGCATCCATCAGCGTGCTAATACATCCTTGTCATGGAGACTATGCCGACTCTATAACAAGGCAATATAAGGAGTAGCATTGATGTACATATACTCAAGCAGCTAGTCATGCTTCTAGGACCACTCGGTGCCACGGCCGTTATTACGAACAAATATGAGGTATCAGTCCTCATATTATATGGAATGTCAGTCCTCGAGAGTTCATTGGACTGTCTGGCCCGCGGCACACGATATGAATGGGCTGACGGAGTGAATATGCCCGTTCGGCGTCTCCGACTCAGGCGGCTGCTACGCTAAGCACACATGTACATATGCACGCTGAGAGCTACGACGCCTTTGAGGCATAGTCTGCGGTAGAGAGTAGCATCTAAATAGGAAACCAATCATCTCTCTGGATGCTTCATCTGCAGTATGCCAATGTGACAGCTTGCAGGCCGGCTACATGTAGTATCCTGGACCCTTGGACCAACTGTCTCAGCTCCGTGGCCCACGCCGTTCGGGACAAGGGGGGCTTGCCCAAGGATCATAATATTCCCTGAATATGACAGAGTTGTGGCCAATCGAGTACGTCTATAAGCGTTGTACTTGATTGTACCGAAATGTTGTCTTATATGACAGCGTTACCTTGAAATGTGACGAGCGGCGTGGAAGTAACTCAAAATGATAAGCCTGTATGCGAGCCTTTTATGCCGTTAAAGAACGGAATTCGTATGGCAGCGAAAGATGGAGAATGATCTGGACTCTTCTAGAGCACTCATCCCTGAATCGTTTCTGTACGTACTCTATTCCGAATGGATTTAGACTGGGAATATAACGGGTCAAAGCGTATGTGTGGCAATAAGTTTCCTTTGATGAGCTCTTCAATGACACCTCTCTCATGATCAAGAATTGATATAGGACCCCGAAATTCTCAAGATGGCTCGCTTCTGGCGATTGGTGGATTTGTTCAAGGCGGGTGCGCTGGTATCGCATGGCTTCTCTGCATTCTAGAAGCCACCCAAGTGTTAGATAAGCGTTGATGAATTTATAAGCCAGCTCTTCTATTCACCTCGCCTTGCAAAAGATATTCAACACCTAGTAAAATTGAAAGGAGGTCTCTTTCAAAATATGATTCGCCTGCCCTAATCACTAGATGACACTATCTGACTTTCCTAGTTGTGATTCGTAGTAGTGCTGTCCATCATTCATTCAATGGCGCTTAGTCATCTCGGGCCGCGTAGACTTCATGCCTTGCCATTTCGTGATTACATGAACGTTGCATACCTGACAATCGAATTATAACCATCGCACTCTTCCCATCGGGCACCGAAGCGCTCGATTGTGGAAAGAGATGCTGCTATTCAAGGCATCTACTTGTGACGTGGCAAATGTCTAGAAGCATCTTTGGCGACTTTCATCCATGTAGACATGGTTCTTTTCGATTCTTTTCATTCTCTTGTCTTGCTTAGCCTGCGGCATCGCTTGATACCTTTTACCTTTCCTTCGATTTAGAATTTAGACGGAACAGAATACTGTTACAGACTAAAGAGAAAAATTTCCATTAATTGCAACGGTGTAGCCAAGATGCCGGAACATGACCCCTTGGTTTTATCCTACCGTCATCTGGCGCAGTTTCGGCGCGCTGATGAGGCGCTGACGACCCTGAAGAAAGTGGCTTCTTTGGTGAAGCCGATTATGCGTAGTCGAGGATGGAAAGTTGGAGAGCTGGCCGAATTCTATCCATCACAGCAGAACCTACTTGGTGCGTATACGACTACAACATGACTTGCTTCTAGCTTGGCTGTCTTAAGTTGTGACTAACCTTTTGTAAATAGGGCTTAATGTCAACCGCGGACAGAAAATATGCTTGAGACTACGTTACGCACAGGACCAAAACCAATTTCTTCCAACAGAGAGTGTTGTTGACACGATGCTGCATGAGCTGTGCCACATTGTACACGGACCTCATGACGCCAAGTTTCACGCCCTCTGGGATCAGCTGCGTGATGAATGGCAGGGTCTCCTCTATAAAGGCTATACCGGCGAAGGGTTCTTGTCCAATGGCCATCGTCTGGGTGG